TGCCCCAGAGCTGGCTCAGGGCTGCAAGGGGTCTTCCCAGAGCACAGCAGAGGGGCAGGATCCCCTCCATGTCCTGCTGCTCACACTCGTTTGGAAAAATACACTCCATTTGGAAAGAAACACTTCAATTGGAAGCTTTAATTCAGCAGAACTTCCCTGTGAAACCAAGCAGGCAGCAAAGAGGCATCACATGAGGCTGCGAGAGCCCCAGTGAGCAGCTCCTGCTGCCCACACACACCAAAGGGAGCTCCCGATGGGCTGAGCTCAACTCGCTCAACAAACAAACCCACCAGGGATCTCCACCAGGCAACGTGCTGGGCTGCTCCCCCAAGCAAAGCTCAACAGCGAGCACTCAAACAAAACCCACAGCTTCATCTGCAACTACAGCAACACGCACCAGGAGCCACTCGGGCAGCACGGCACAGCTTATGCAATGAAGATGATTTCAGCACATGAGCAAAGGGAGGTTTCTATCAGCTAGTCCCGAAGAGCCAACAGAGGAACGAGCCGGGGTGTCTGCCAGGGCAACCACCTCCCAAACTCGAGCTGTTAGAGGTGTCAAAAGCCAGGGAGGCACAGCGAGGGCAGCACTGAACCTGCAAAGCCTTTAGCAGCACAGGCAGAAGAAGGGACTCCTGGCACACACCTTCTGAGCTGGGCTGAGCCCAAAGACCCAGGAGAAGGGACAACAGAGCAGCAAGAGACCTTTCCAGAGTCATTCCTTGAACTCTCTGCACTCAAGTCAAACAAGCAGCAGTCTCCACGGCCGCTCACATGCAAGAGAACACATTGGAAGAGCTCCAGCCCAATACCTGGAGCTATCTTGCTCCTGTCATTACCGGAAGGTGTAATTACAACACAGAGCAGTGTGAGCTGGCAGGGGCGGGCACGGCCACCAGTGAAGAGCAGTGGTTTTGAAGAGCATCACAGAGGCTTTATTCCATCCATGAGAAACTTTCACCGTGCGCTGTATCTCCGTGCTCCCGACTCACAACCACATTCACTCAGCTCTCATGGAGCCAGGGCTGAGAAGGCAGCACAGACACCTCCAGCACTGCTCTCCCCCAGCAGCTGCTGAAGGCTCCACGATGCAGAGCAGCTCCAACCCCTTCACATGCTGCTCACAATCATTTCCTTGGGTGTTTGTGTTTGTTGTTTCAGCCTAAAACAGGTCAAATGGTCTTAAAATAAACCCGGTCGTTCCGATCTAAAATAATTGGGGGGGAAAGCCACTTGTTTGCTCATGGCTGACTTGGCAGCAACACAGAACAAGAAATACTCTGACACGGGCTCAAGTGGAGCATTAGAACTTCCCCAACCCTCCCAAGACAGTGCTGCTGGTGCATACCTGGACTAGTTCGAGAGCATAAGCATACCAGAAGGGATTAGAAGGGAATTAGCCAAACTGCTCCGAGGGAACCACATTCTCAGGTGCATTACAGGGCGTTCTTGTTGGGCTGGAGATTGGGGGGTGGGATTTAAACAAGTCCAAGTAGAAAAACACACCACTGACCTCCTGCCCACAGCCTGCGTGCAGGACACCGGTCCCAGGTGTCCCTTTAGAGCTGCAGGGGTTTACATTAACACCTGACAAGCTCCAGGATCTGCTTCAGGCTGGAGCACAGAGGGGAGCAGAAGATTAACTCTGTGCCCGGAGGATAAACAGCTTCTTACAGAGCTGAACTTGCTCAGGGGGTTCGGTCCTTTAGAGGCGCATTATTTTATAAAGCTGTGACCATCACTAACACCCTTGCTCTGGAACAGAGCCGACACACACTCCACAACACCGAAGGTGACAGAGCACTTGTGCTCCAAGTGACACGAATAAACGGGATCCTGCCAACACGGTAACACCCCCAAACCCCTACAACACCAACACGTTTACGTTTGGCCGGCTGAGCGCAGACAGGCAAGGAAAAGCACTAAGACAACACCGCTTTGGATCAGCCCTCACAGCCCCGGTCCCTGCGGCACCACCGCCCCACAGCCTGTCCCAAACCCATCCCCTGCAGCAGCGGGGGGAAGCGGGGCAGGACCTGGGAGTCACCACGAAGCGCTGGAACCTCCCTCCTGGCCCCAACCCCAGCGCCACGGCCCCTTCCCGCGGGACACGGCCACGGGGATGGTCCAGCCCCGGCGGAAGGAACCTCAGGGGACAAACACAGAGCAGCGCTGGCGGTGCCGGTGCTGGCGCCGGTGGCTCCGGCCGCGGAAGGTGGGGGGGGGGGAAATGGGGACCGGGACCGCAGCCGCTGCAGCAGCGGGAGGCGGAGGGACGGGGCTGAACGGGGCGGCCCATGCCGGGGGCGCGGAACGAGCAACCCGGGCGGAAAGGCTTCGATCACAGCAGAGGCGAGGCACGACCCGGACCCGGACCCGGACCCGCACCCGCACCCCCAAGGGGTTCACCCCGCACAGGCCGCGCCAGGCCCCGCTCCGGCCCGCGGTACCTGTAGTAGCTGAGCAGCCCGTTGCTGAGCACGAACCAGCGGCGCTGGTAGCCCTTCAGGTAGTTGGTCCACTTGAAGAGCCAGCCCTTGTAGGTGTCGGAGCCCGGCGCGGCGGGCGGGCCCGGCTCGGCGCTCATGGCCGGCAGGTCCCGGCGGGCCAGGCAGGGCACGGCGCTGAGCAGCGAGACCAGCCCGCGGGTGCCGCTGCCGCACGGCGCCGCCGCCTTCCCCATAGACCCGCCGCGCTCCGCCAGGGGGCGGTGCCGCCGGCACGTGACGCGGTGGGAGGGGGGGGGGGGGGCGGCGCGGGCGCCCCCTGGCGGCGGGGCGGGAAAAGACCCCGCCGCCATTTCATGAGGCGCGCCCGGGCAGTGGGGGGGGGACGGGGACCCACAGCCCCTAACGGAGCCCCCCGGCCAGCCCTGGCTGTGCCCTTGCCCCAACACCTCTCTAATACTGATGCGCGGATTGACTCCACAACTCGTTAAAGTTGTAAAGCAGGTATGCTTTTATTCAGCTCTGAGACGCACGGGGACAATTCCTCAAAGTATGCGTGCCTCAGTGTTGTTTCCATCTACATTTATTCTCTAAAGTTATATATATTCATAAGGTTGCACAACACGCCTATACGTATTCATGTCCTATCCCCGCTTCGGATTATAATGAGCCAGAAGGTCCTCTGCACCTGCGCAGTGCCCCCTCTGGTCATGGGCAGGGGTCTCAAGATGAAGTAACTGAGTCTTCCTCCTGTGGGTAGGGGTCTTCAAGATGAAGTAAATGAGTCTTCCTCTTCTTGCACTTTTCACCTTTTTTAGTCTTTATGTGTGGTCTTAGAGTTTGGTCAGTGTCCCAGCCGTAAATCCTCTACTTCTCCCCTTTATCAGTAGATTCAGGCGTCTGCTTATCAACAGGACCGGAGGTCTCTGTTCTGCTTAGCAGGCATTTACAACAGATAGTCCTTTTGTTTAAACAAATTCCTCTAACCCCCTTGTATAACCCCCCTTGAGGCTTCAGTTCGCGTTGTGGTAAAAGCACCTCAGCCCCTCTGCTGCAGGGGGAGCGGAGGCAGAGGGCAGGCAAGGAGCGGGGCCCGGCAGCTCCAGCGGCACTGCCCTGTGCTGGGCAGGGAGCTGCCAGGAAGGGCCCTGGAACCAGGGGTGCAGAAACACCTGGAGCCGGCTGCTGAAATACCGAGGGGAGCGGAGGAGCCTGGGGGGTGAGGCCGGGGAGCCCAGCTTCCCCAGGGAGGGCGGGCACAGGACACAGCGCTGCACGCGCCCTGCCCGGTTCAGAGGAGTGCAGAGCTCTGCGCCGTGAACCATAGAATAGTTCGGGTTGGGCAGGACCTTGAACACCTCCAGGGATGGAGCATTCATAGCTTCCCTGGGCAACCCATTCCAGTGCCTCACCACCCTTACAGGAAAGAATTTCCTCCTCATATCCAATCTAAACTTCCCCTGTTTCAGTTTTAACCCATTACCCCTTGTCCTGTCACTACAGTCCCTAATGAAGAGTCCATCCCCAGCATCCCTATAGGCCCCCTTCAGATACTGGAAGCTGCTCTGAGGTCTCCACGCAGCTTCTCTTCTCCAGGCTGAACAGCCCCAACTTTCCCAGCCTGTCTCCATACAGGAGGTGCTCCAGTCCCTGATCATCCTCATGGCCTCCTCTGGACTTGTTCCAACAGTTCCATGTCCTTTTTATGTTGAGGACACCAGAACTGCACACAATGCTCCAGGTGAGGTCTCACGAGAGCAGAGCAGAGGGGCAGGATCACCTCCTTCGACCTGCTGGTCACGCTCCTTTTGATGCAGCCCAGGATACGGTTGCTTTCTGGGCTGCAAGCGCACACTGAAGCCGGCTCATGTTCAGTTTCTCATCAACCAACACCCCCAAGTGAAGGTGCTGCAGAGATGGGAGAGGAAGGGAGCGAAAGCACTGGAGCCGTGCCCTGCAGGAGGGACAGGCTGCAGTGTGCTTGGGGCATCCCCCACTGCAGAGCAGGGATCTGCACCCAACGGGCACCGTCTGCTGCCCGGCTGAGGGACAGGCTTGGACAGGCAGCAGGACACGAGCTGGGCTGTGCCACGTCCCACCTTGGGCTGCTCCTAACTGCAAACTGCCCCGTCAGCACTTGTGCCACTTCTGCCCCTGCTGAGCCACGTCCTGCAGCATCCTCCTGCACAAAGGGGCACGGCCTCTCAGAGCCACACAGCAGAAACCCTGCCAGGTGAAGGGACTCATCCTGCCCCCAGGAACAACTTCATTGCCACCTTCAGTAAGAACACAAGCGTGGAGAAACTGAAGCGAAGGCGACAGGGCAGGAACCTGCCCTCCTGGCCCAGTGCCTCCATCAGGAGACATCCTCCTCCCTGCAGAGGCAGCAAAGCCAGACCTCGAGTGGTGAGACCTGTCTTCATGCCACTGCTCCAACATGCTCCAGCTATGAGGGGCAGCCCCAGCCCTAGAGCCCGCAATGCACCTGCTCTCTCAAATCTATTGCTTTGCCTGGAGGCGCTCAGTCCCAGCAGAGCCAGCAGCTTTGCCAGGAGGAAGGAGAATAGATTTTGTGCTTTATTTCTTGCCCTTCTTGCCCTTCTTGCCCTTGCCTTTCTTCTTTTTTGGCCTGTAGAGGCGCCGGACCAAGTAGCCTTTCCAGAGGGCCTGGATGCGGGCAGCAGCGCGGTTCTTGGTGGTCAGCTCCTTCAAAGCCTCCTCCTCCTTCTCCCGAAGCATCTTGCGTTCCTCCTCGATCTGGGTGTACTCCTGGAGAAGCAGAGCGTGTTTCTCTGTCAGCAGGGACAGCTGGGCCTTCTCCTCGGCATAGGCAGCATCAACCTCCTCATACTCAGCCTAGCAAGAGAGCACATACCAGGTACAGCAACTGTGAGAGCCTTCAGCAGCTCCTCCCTGTACATCCCTAGGTAAGGGCTCCTAAACCCATCCCAAAAGCAAGCAGAGCCACAACTGGGAGCAGAGCTGAATCCTTCCAAAGGGACTCAAAAAGTGCCCAGTACCCAGGGAACTCCCTGAGACACCAGGTCCTCATGGTACTCTCATCATTCTCCGTGTTGCATCCACCCTCAGCTGGGACGAGCAGGTCAGAGCCCCTCCTGCAGATGCTCTGCACAGAGCCATGTATCACTGTGGGTAAGGCTGAGCCTGAGCTACCAGCTCTGCTGGGAAGGTGTTTAGATGAGCGGCTCATCTGCTCTTCATCGCTGAGAGCATGTGAAAAGCCAGGCCACGGCAGCCTGGGAAAGGCAGTTTCCATGGTGGCACTGCCCTCCCAAGCTCAGCAGCAGTTTATGCCTTTCTTAATGGTCTTGAGGAAGCCACAGGGAGAAGGAAGATCAGGGGAACCAACTGAGTGGATGTGTGGTGCCTTAGTGAGTTCTGCCTCTAACATGCTGTGACATGGTGCCACCCAGCAGGAAACAACCTCAGTGCTAAACCCCTGCCAAGAGGGACCATCTCCTACAATTAGCAGCCAGCTTTTAAGCCCCTCCCCACATTTGGCTTTGTCAGTAATCCAGCAGCTTTTCTCCATCTCCAAAAAGAAGGTGAGAACAGGAAAACAAGCAGGGCCTTCTCAGAGGTGAGGTTGGAGGTGCTGAGTGCCCCTTAGCCTGCTGTGGTTCAGCTGGAACCAGCGGTATGCAGCCTGTTCGGTGTCAGCACATCTCCCTGGGGTGCCAGCAGAACCAGGAGTGTGATTTGGACAGCAGGCAGGCCTGAGGAGGGAAGCCACCCTGCCCCATGGCAGCAGGTGGATGTGTGTGACAGAACGTGGCAACCCTTTTGCTCCAAATACAGTGGGATTTAGCAGCGGGTAACTGAAAGTCAAAGCAGCTGAGACCTCCTGAACACACAGGTGGGACAAACATAAAGCCTGTGCTGCTTCTGGATGGAGAGCTGCCCCTCACTTCCACAGCCACCCGTGTAGAAGCCACGTGTCCATGTGGGCAGGAATCCACCTGAACTCATCACCTCCTGGGGGAGCACAGCACTGAAAGCAGATACCTGTTTTTCTGCCATGTCTGTGTCGTATTTCTGGACCCAGTTCCAAATTTCCATCTCCAGTCGGCACTTCCTCTGAAACAAAAGACAAGTTCCTTGCAGGGACCTGAACCCTGGGAAAGAGTAGCCTGAGCTAGAGAGCAGGGAAGCTTTGAGCACCAGCACATGGGAGTGTAACCCCTCCTCCTTGTGGCAAGCTTCCTCCAGCTGACACACACCCTGCGCGCCCTCCTTTGGGATTCTCATGGGATATTCCCTGAGGCCAAAAGGGCCTTATTTGGTTTACAGCTTGGAGCCAGGGTTTGAAACACATCTAAAAGGTGTATTCTGCAGCAGGGGATGAACATGCCTGATGGAATGTGGCAAGTCATCGACAAACTGGGGCAACCACCCTCAAATCAAAGCAATAGAACTGCTAAACATGGAAATGAGACAGAAAGCTCAGAAAATTGTGCTTTTTAAAACAAAGAGGTGATTCTAGCTGAAATACTGCAGGCTATACTGCAGTTACCAGATACATCAGTTTACCCCTGTGTTCCACGGAACCATCAAGGGAAAGGTCAGCTAGAGCCCAGCACAAGTGCTTCCCGTATGGCAGTGACCCAGGGTGTCCCACAGGCTCCCAGGCCATCATGAGGTCACACCTCAGCTATTTAAACCACAAGTGCAGTCTTGGGCCACGCAGGGCTAGAGGATGTCCTAAGGAGGGGGAAAAGAGACTTGTGGGGTCAGGAAATGAGCCTGCCTGAGCATTGGAATGAGCTGAGCAACTCCCCAGCAAACACTGCGGTGCCCGGCAGCCTTGGAAGCAGCTGCCTGGTAAAACCACTCCACTAAAGGAGGTGAAAATGCAGAGATTTGGGAATTGTACTTTGTCAGTGCCCAGCCCCACTGCCAGCCTGCATGGTTCAAAGCAAGAGTGAAAGAGAATCCCATTGCATATGTGTGCTACCCTGCACTTGTTTGGAATAAATACCCACCAAGAGCAAGCTGAGGGGGAATAACGCCCCTTTTCCAGCTATCAATTCTCTGTGTCACCAGCATGTCCTGCCCACTGCTCCTGTTTCCTCCTCCTGCATCTGCTCAGCACTGAGATAAATTACATTTCCCGCTCATTTGACTCAACCACATCCTTGGCTTGTGTCTTCAGCTGAGAGCCAGGCAGATCAGGAGCTGTTCAGCTCCCAGAATCAGCTGTGCTCAACCTTGAACACTACATCACCTCTAAAGATGGCTTTATTCATAAATCAGAGAATCATAGAATCCTTCGGGTTGGAAAGGACCTTAAGATCATCCAGTTCCAACCCCCCTGCCATGGGCAGGGACACCTCACACTAAACCATGCCACCCAAGGCCTCGTCCAACCTGGCCTTGAACACTGCCGGGGACGGAGCAGTCACAACTTCCTTGGGCAACCCATTCCAGTGCCTCAGCACCCTCACAGGAAAGAATTTCCTCCTTATATCCAATCTAAACTTCCTCTGTTTAGGTTTGAACCCGTTACCCCTTGTCCTGTCACTACAGTCGTTAATGAAGAGTCCTTCCCCAGCATCCCTATAGGCCCCCTTCAGATACTGGAAGGCTGCTCTGAGGTCTCCATGCAGCCTTCTCTTCTCCAGGCTGAACAGCCCCAACTTTCTCAGCCTATTTTCATACAGGAGGTGCTCCAGCCCCTGATCATCCTTGTGGCCTCCTCTGGACTTGTTCCAACAGTTCCATGTCCTTTTTATGTTGAGGACACCAGAACTGCACACAATGCTCCAGGTGAGGTCTCACGAGAGCAGAGCAGAGGGGCAGGATCACCTCCTTCGACCTGCTGGTCACGCTCCTTTTGATGCAGTCCAGGATACGGTTGCTTTCTGGGCTGCAAGCACACACTGCAGCCGGCTCATGTTCATTTTCTCATCGACCAACACCCCCAAGTCCTTCTCTGCAGGGCTGCTCTGAATCTCTTCTCTGCCCAACCTGTAGCTGTGCCTGGGATTGCTCCGACCCAGGTGTAGGACCTTGCACTTGGCATGGTTAAACCTCATGAGGTTGGCATCAGCCCACCTCACAAGCGTGTCGAGGTCCCTCTGGATGGCATTCCTTCCCTCCAGGGTATCAACCGAACCACACAGCTCGGTGTCATCGGCAAACTTGCTGAGGGCGCACTCAATCCCACTGTCCATGTCAGCAACAAAGATGTTGAACAAGACCAGTCCCAACACCGATCCCTGAGGGACCCCACTCGTTCCTGGTCTCCAGCCGGACATTGAGCCGTTGACCACAACTCTTTCCGTGCTGCCATCCAGCCAGTTCTTTATCCACCCAGTGGTCCATCTATCAAATTGATGTCTCTCCAATTTAGAGACAAGGATGTCGTGTGGGACAGTGTCGAACGCTTTGCACAAGTCCAGGTAGATGCCATCAACTGCTCTACCCCTGTCCATCAGTTCTGTAGCCCCATCATAGAAGGCCACCAAATTGGTCAGGCAGGATTTCCCCTTAGTGAAGCCATGCTGGCTGTCACCAAGCACCTTGTTGATTTTCATGTGCCTTAGCATGCCATCCAGGAGAATCCGCTCCAAGATTTTGCCAGGCACAGAGGTGAGACTGACTGGTCTGTAATTCCCCGGGTCATCCATTTTCCTCTTCCTGAAAATGGGGGTTATATTTCCCTTTTTCCAGTCATCGGGAACTTTACCTGACTGCCATGATTTCTCAAATATGATGGCCAGTGGCTTAGCAACTTCATTCGCCAGATCCTTCAGGACCCATGGATGGATTTCATCAGGTCCCAAGGACTTGTGCACATTCAGGTTCTTAAGATGGTCTCGAACCAGATCCTCTCCTACAGTGGGCCCAAGGTCTTCACTCTCACAGTCTCTTGGGTGGTGCGGTCAGAGCCTTTGCCAGTGAAGACGGAGGCAAAGAAGTCATTGAGAACCTCAGCCTTCCCCAAATCCAGGGTAGCCAGTTCTCCTGATGGCTTCCAGAGGGGGCCCACATTCCCCCTCCTCCCTTTTATTAAAGCCAAGTCTGTTTATTAAAGCCAATATTATGTCTATCCTGCTTACCCTGCACCAAACCCTTGTTTCTTTCACCTCTAGCCCTGCTGCTCTGCACCCTGCCCTGAGCCCAGGCTCCCTCCATGCTGTATGAAGGTGCTGAGGCAGCAGCAGCAGGAGGAGGTGAGGGAGCTGCTCTTGTTGCTGTCACTGCAGGGTTGCTTGCCACCAGAACCAGCAGAGCGTGAGGACAGTGCAGGTAAGCTCTGACAAACAGCATGTGCATCCTGGCAGCAGCCAGCAGGAGCTGAGCCACTGCTCACAGCAGCCAGACCTGACAGCAACACTCCAAGTTCTCCATCTCCTGTTCTAGAGCCCTCCTCCCGTTTACCTTCCTGAGCATCAGCTCAGATGCTCGGTGCTCCACCACAAGTGTAGTGAGTTGTCTCTGTAGCTGCTCAATGTCCTGCTGCAGCCCAGCACACCTGCTCTGGGAGGCTTGCAGCTCCACCTTCTGCTGGTTTTCCCCTTCCTCCTTGATCCTCTGCATGCTGATCTTGGAGTCTTTGGCCAGATCTTGAATTCTGGTTTTGAGGTCTTTGATCATGTTGTCCTTCTTGCTAATCTAGACCCAGAAAACAAGGGAAAGAAATACCATTGAGGAGCCCTGGTGAGGCATAAGCCTGGCAGGAGTATGGAACCCTTGTGAAGGCGCAGGAGATCCAAGGAGCCACCCTGCTGATGTGGCAGCAAGAGGGACCTGCAACTGCTGGCTAAGGGAACAGAGGTAGATTTACATGAGGTGCTCTGGAAAACTCCCCCTTCTGCTCCTCTGGGGTCCTGTTAATAAAAGCAGAGAATGAACAAACCAAGTGAGACCCACCAGCACTGTTGTCTGAGGAACACCCAAAAGCAGAGCCAGTGGAGCAAGCCCCATGGCTCCCTGGAGCTTTGGGTTAGCTCAGAGTGAGTGCCTGGGGGACACAGCTCAGTGTGCTGTGCTGAGCTGGGACCAGTGGAACACATTTATTCATGATGCCCTGGCCAAGCTGCACAACAAGATCTCAAATGTCTGGATCCGCAGATCCCCAAAGAGCAGAGGGAATGGGGAAAGCAGGTCCTGGCCTCCATTAGCACCATTCAGTGCAGCGAGCACATGACAAAACCTTCCCCTCTGTCCCCTCTGGCAGGAAGGAGAGAGAAAAGCACACGTAGGAAACAAAGCGGTGCTTGTCAGGAGCTCAGCCTTGGCTGTGCCACAGGGCTCGCAGCAGGAGCCTGGAAAATGCCCATTCACTGCTCCGTGCCTCAGCTGCCTGCCCTCAACAAACGGAGGGCTCCTCCAACCACACATGAACCGCCAGTGCTCTGAGGAAGCTGGGGTCACCACGCTGCAGCTCACAGCAATGATGTGCTTCAGCAGAATGAAGATAGAGCAGACATTAAAGATGGACTTCAATCAGAGCAATCTCTCCCTGGAATGACTTTTCCTCCTTTCAGCAGCAGTGAAGGGAGGCTTGTGCTGGCAGCTACAAACACCACCCCAGCAATTTGTGCCTGTCCTACAGCTCCTTTGAAACACGCTGACTTGTGTCACTCAAGTTGGATGGTGACAGCAGGTTCCAAACACACCAAATTCCAGTTTTAAAGTAATCTAACATGCAATAAGCATTTTCATTATATTTTCCATGAAAATAGTATTTTTTCTATTTAGGATCTGGGTTAGAAATCACTTCTGGGAACTTCTTCTTTAGGAATTGCAAGCAAGGGATGAGGTTTTAGCTTACCAAGTTTGGCTTCAGTTACACTGTGTTGGAAAACATACTCCTCCAATATCATACCTCATCCTCTCGCGTCTGAATTGCTGCTGCCAGCTTTGCCTGCAGGGCTGTGATTGCTTCAGCGTGCTTCTTAATCTGGAGGGAGATGTCTGCCACAAACTGGATCTTTCCTTCCTCTTCCACAGGACTAGTCAGGAGTCTCTCCAGCATGAAATTCCTGAACACCCCGAAGGCTCTGACAAACACTTCAGCTGGTGAGTCTGCCACCCCAGCTTTGGGTTTCAGAGCCTGGAGAAGTGAAGGGTTGGCCAGGAAGAGTCTCAGCACATTTCTAATGGAACATTTCAGGCTCTGCTCTAGAAAGCAGAGACGGCCCCGTTGTTCCTCAGCTTTCGTGGTCTCTTCCCCAGAGCTGGCAAGCAGGCACTCCATTTCCATGGAAAGCTCTTGCAGCTCCAGCAGGTTCTTTGTGATCTCAGGACCCAGCATATCAGCAAACCTATCGAGAGAGTCAATCACACGTGGGATCAAACTGCTCATCTCCAGCTTGGCAGCTGTCTCATCCAAAACATTCATGATTCTGTCTGTCTCCATGCTGTCAGGTTTCAGGTGACGAGGATCTAACATCTTCATGGCATTGAGTGTGATCTTTGCCTTCCTTGGCGATGCCATGCCCTTCACCAAGGGCTTGGTGCTTTGCTTCACATCCTGAGATGGGAATACATCTGGATCCCCTGTTGCCATGGCTCCAGTGGGTTGAGCTCTCTGAAGTTGTCAACGTGTGAGCCGAGTGCTTGGAAGTCTAGCAAGGGCACTACATCTCTTACATGAGGTGACAAAGATCAGTGAAGTCCCTCTGCTCCTGCTGTCACAGACTCCTCCTAGGATTTTCTCTCTGCAAGGAAAACAGTGACAGCATTAGAGAAACAGTGTAATTTGGGAGCACCTGGGAGTTTCAGCTGACACTGGCGCTCTCCCTGGGTCTAGGCATGGGGTCAGGACACGGGATCGTGCATCAGACGTGCTCTGTGCTCCAGAGGCTGTGGAACACCCACAGGAAGGGAGAAGAGTAATGGACTCCGGCTGTGAAGGGTGGCTGGGAGAAACCTCCAGCTGCTGGTGAGCAGCTGGAGGTGGAGATCACAGAGCCACAGAAACAAACAGGGTGGAAAAGCCCTTTAAGCTCATCCAGTCCAACCCTTACCCCAGCACTGCCGAGGCCACCAGCAACCCATGGCGCTGAGGGCCTCATCTGCACGGTGTGTGAACACTTGCAGGGACGGTGCCTGCCCCCCCCACGCCGCAGCTCTGCAGTCCCTAGGGAGCAGCCTGCAGGCCTCTGGGCCCAGTGCAGAGGGAACGGCAGGGCTCCCAGTGTGAAACCTCCATCCCTGCGGCCGGCAGTGCTGGAGGGAGGAGAGGGGAGCTGCATGCCTGGAGGGGAAAGAGGGGAGGAGCTGGGAACCAGGGAAACCCAGGGATCCGCGGCTAGGGGAGAGTTAGAGGAGGGGGGGGATGTGGCCTCCGGTGGGGAGAGCCCCGTGAGAGGGTCAGGAGGGCAGGGGAAGGCCTGAGAAGAGGCCTGGGGCCGCAGCGGCCCGAGGGGGGCTCGGGGTTATCTCGGCGGTGTCGGTCCCGGGCTGCCTCCAGCCCCTGCAGCGCACTCGGTCCCGGTCCTGCCCCGGCCCCGCTCGCCACGGCCCCGCTCGCACCCAGCCGCCTCCAGCGTCCTCCGGTTGCTCGGCAACCATCCGGGGCGGGGCCTCTCCCGACAGCCAATGGCGTGCGGCGTTTGCCGCTGTAATCGCTTGATGGACAGCGCCGCTGCCCAATGAGACCTCCCGTGAGGGGCCGGGGCCGCCATGTTGTGGCGCGGTGAGGCGGGGGCGCGGATCTCCCACCTCTGCAGTGGAGAAGCGGCATCAGGAGCAGTGTGTGAGCACGGCGGGGAGCGCGCAGCGCGCACAGTGCACAGTGCACAGCACACAGCATAGAGTGCACAGCACACAGTGCACAGCGCACAGCGCACAGCATAGAGTGCACAGCGCACAGCACACAGTGCACAGCGCACAGTGCACAGCGCACAGCGCACAGTGCACAGCGCACAGTGTAGAGTGCACAGCGCACAGCGTAGAGTGCACAGCGCACAGTGTAGAGTGCACAGCGCACAGCACACAGTGCACAGCGCACAGTGTAGAGTGCACAGCGCACAGCGTAGAGTGCACAGCGCACAGCGCACAGCGCACAGCATAAAGTGCACAGCGCACAGCGCACAGCGTAGAGTGCACAGCGCACAGTGTAGAGTGCACAGCGCACAGCGCACAGCGCACAGCATAAAGTGCACAGCGCACAGCGCACAGCACAGAGTGCACAGCGCACAGCATAGAGTGCACAGCGCACAGCATAGAGTGCGCAGCGCACAGCGCACAGCACACAGCGCACAGCACAGAGTGCACAGCGCACAGCGCACAGCGCACAGCATAGAGTGCACAGCGCACAGCGCACAGCACACAGCGCACAGCACAGAGTGCACAGCGCACAGCGCACAGCACACAGCGCACAGCATAGAGTGCACAGCGCACAGCGCACAGCATAGAGTGCACAGCGCACAGCACACAGCATAGAGTGCACAGCGCACAGCACACAGCGCACAGCGCACAGCATAGAGTGCACAGCGCACAGCATAGAGTGCACAGCACACAGCGCACAGCGCACAGCATAGAGTGCACAGCACACAGCGCACAGCGCACAGCATAGAGTGCACAGCACACAGCACACAGCATAGAGTGCACAGCGCACAGGGCACAGCGCACAGCGCACAGCGCACAGCATAGAGTGCACAGCGCACAGGGCACAGCGCACAGCGCACAGCATAGAGTGCACAGCGCACAGGGCACAGCACACAGTGCACAGCATACAGCAGACAGCGCGCAGAGCACAGCACACACCATACAGAGCACAGAGCACAGCGCACAGCACACAGCATAGAGCGCACGGCACACGGCGCACAGCGCGCAACACACAGCGCACAGCGCACAGTGCGCATAGCCTACAGCGCACACAGCAGCGCACAGCACACAGTACACAGCATACAGTGCACAGCACACGGCGCATAGGACACAGGACGCAGCGTTCCCGCTGGCTGCCCAGCAATGCACCCCTGACAGCCCCAAAATAGGCAGGAAAACAAATTTTATCCCCCCCCCCCCCCGAGGTTACGTTCGTGCGGACCCCATCCAGTGGCGACAGAGCAGAGCCAGGGCAGGGGCAGTGTGAGGGAGCCGGTGAGCAGGAGCCCTGGGGCAGTGCCACAGAGCCCGGGGAAGGGCCCGGCGGCTGTTGGGAAGATGGAGTCCTCCGGGGGAATCGGCAGCAGAGGCACACACAGCAGCCGCGGGGCACGGCACGGCCTCCGTGGGCTGGGAAAGAGCCTCAAGGTCATCCAGTCCAACCGTTCCCAGCCCTGCCAAGGCCACCACTGCCCCATGGCACTGGGGCCTCGTCTCCACGGGGTGTGAACACTTGCAGGGACGGTGACTGCAGCCCTGCCCTGGGCAGCCTGTTCCAATGCCTGAGCACCCTCTGGGGCAGGAATTGTTCCTCAGCTCCATCTAAACCTGCCCTGGGGCAGCTTGAGGCCGTTTCCTCTTGTCCCGTCCCTTGTTCCTTGGGAGCAGAGCCCAGCCCCTCCTGGCTCCATCCTATGGCCTGGAGATGGGACCAGCTGCCTGTGCCCCACGGCCTGCTCAAAGGGACAGGCTGGTCCTTGGGACATCCAGGGAGAGAGGACGGAAAGGTTGGAGCTGTGGGTCCCATCCAGACCTCCTCTAAAGCAGGGAAGAGCTGTGGAGCAGTGCTGCTCCTTCCCGGACTTGGGTAACTGCAGACATCCTGGCTCTGCAGGTGGGGACGGAGGTGACGGCAGTGCTCAGAGCAGCCTGACTGGTCCTGCAGCTTCACCCACCGCTCCCAGCCAGCAGCAGCTCCTCTGCCAGGGAGGCAGCCAGGTCCATGAGGGAGCTGCGTGACACATCACTGAACCTGCGTCAATCCCACCTCATCCAGGATGCAGGAAACTCAGATCCATCCTGGAACAATTGGCTGCATCTGAACCCACCGCACTGCATCACTGCCGGAGCCAGAGGTGCCCGAGGATCCCAACCACGTGTGCAGGGGAGAGCTGGGAGACGCTGGGTGCAGGCACATCCCTGTGTCCATGCCTGAGCTGGCACATGAGCGCCTGTGAGTGACCACCCGAACACCAGAGACCTCCCTGGCCCCATCTGGGCTTTCTCCCAGCACTGAACCTCTCACCAGAGCTGCATCCATCTCCACTGCAGCAATGGGAAGCGAAGCTCAGCACGTGGGTGCTTGGAAGGCCGCGATCCACCCCAAACAAATCCCCTGTTCCTGCTGCCCCCCGCCCCTGTGTGGGGCAAGGGAAGGGGCAGCGGGGGTGGGGGGGATGGATTGTGCCAGTTAAAACTGACACTGAAATGATGACAATAAGCACAAATGATGCCTGCTGCATGGAGCCCTGCATCGTGCTCCACCTGGGGCTCCACATCCACACCAAGCCCCAGGGGAGCCTGTGCCACCCACTGAGCCCTGACCGTGGAGCTCACCCATTGCCCTGTCTTGCTGTCAGTGGGGTGATGTGTCCCAGATCCCTAGTGTGAGCAGGAGGGAAGGAGCCTGCACTTCCCCTGGAGCCTGAGCCTGTCAGAAAAGCTCAGGCAGCGCTCTGGGAACATCATTGAACATCACATCAGTGCCTTTTCCCAGTGCTTATTCCGGGCAGAGGGAGAGGGAACACAGCATCACCACTGCACCATGCGGGGTCATCTGTGACCTGCATCCCCTGGTTCCCTCACCAGCTGATTCAGGGTTGACTGTAGCTCAGTTAAAGCATGACAGCTTCCCAAGCACCACTTTGGGAGCAGTAGTTCCTGTTTCTGTGGTGGCCCCAGGGGAGGTGGGCCCAGCGTGCTCCTTGGCTGTGCATGGGTCAGGAGAGTCATCGTGGCGAGGGCACCATTGGATGAAGTGGTGGAGCTGCTTGTCCAGGGAACCAGAGACCTGTCCAGCTCCGGGGGAATTTAAACTGAAAGCTCATGGTGATTTCAGCACCTGGTGCTGCTGGAAGCCATGCACTAACACTTTGCTTCTCGGGCTGGTCCCTGCCAGCCTCCTGCAGCTGTGGATGACAATAATGATGCAGCGTGCACATAAGGGAAGCCCAGGGAAGCTGTGGGGCTGGTCTCAGGACTGGCATTCGGGAGCTGCTGTTTCTTTTCAGCTGCACGTTCATCTCAGGGCTTTACAAAGCTTGCTCCAGGTCAGCACAAGCTCCTGTGATGCAGCACAGTGAACACACACCATTAACATCATATCCGTGGTCCGAGCCTGAGCACATGGGCAGGCAGAGGGGCTGCCTCTAAGCCAAATGCATGTGTTGAGGCTGAAGCACACAGCACGCACCTCCTGTCACACTGCGCTGGGTCCTGCCTTGTGGGGCTGCCCTGCATGGGGTCTGTCACTGCCCAGGTCACCTGCATGGGGTCTGTCTGCCCCAGGGCAGCTGCAGCGCTGTGCACAGTGTGCAGGGCCTGGCACGGATCAGCTCCTCCTCTCCTTGGAGCCTCCTGGGTGAGGACAGAGCCCAGATCCTGCTCATACCCAGGGACACAGAGCCGCAGGGAGGGGAGGGTGGGTGGTGTCAGTGCTGGGCCTGGGCTGCTCTGGGAATTCACCCAGCCCTGGATGGCACTGGCCCTGCGGCTCCGGCTTCCACTGCTCCCCTGGGGAAGCAGCAGTGCTATCCCCCTGCTCCCCGCACCGCCTTTTGAGGTGAGGAGCGCCGTGCTGACACAGCTCCGTGTCTGAAAACACAGCCCCCCCCCCCAGCCTGTCCCTCCTGGAGCGCTCTGTCAGTCACTGGAAGGGATGAGGAGCCCCTCCACAGTGGACCAGCGGGGCTGGGGAGCTCCCGAGCAAGCCACCATTGCCTTCACCTCCACCCTACCTAAAGAGAGAAACCAGGGCTCCTGCAGCGGGGAGTCTGCTGAAGAGCCAAGCGCCGTGGGGTTGGTTCTGTGAGCGCTGAGCAAGCACACTTCAAAAGGGGAGGACGGGAGGTGCCTGAGAGCAGCAGGGATGGCAGCGGGATGGAGGGGGCCCTGGCTCAGGCAGCAGCACCCTCTGCAGTCAGCTGTGGGCAGCGATGGGATCAGCTCCGAGAGGGAAACCTGCCTGGGGGGGCTGAGGACACGGGTGTGTGAGGACCACAGCGTGGTTGTGACCCTCATCCGCCTGCCTCGCTAACCCGGCTGTGCGCTGTGAGCTTCGCACAGAGCAGCACTGTGAGACACAGCCCCACAGCCCCTCTGCTTCCATGGCTTGGGGGGAAGGACAGCCACTGCTCCCCACAGCGTGCTGCTGCATGCCAGGCACCACCTGGGGGTCCACACAGGGTGGGGGCTGTTTGGGAGATGGATGAATGCATGGATGGATGGATGGATGAATGCATGGCTGGATGGAGGGATGGATGCATGGACGGATGGAGGGATGGATGCATGGAGGGAAGGAGGGAGGGAGGGCTGGCTGGCTGGCTGGCTGGAGGGATGGAGCTGTTACCATGGCAAAAGGGAGGAGGTTGGTGGACGGGGGACAAAGCAGAGGACTCTGAAATCATGAAGTGGGCACTAATCAGTCACTGCTGCTCATAGCACCAGAAGTGGGCACACAGCGGATTTATTCGGGTAGCAGGTTTGCAACAAGCTAAAGGGACATTTTCACACTACATTATTGAGCACTGAGAGTCGCTGCCCCAGGATGCTGCACAGGCCAACCACATACAGAAGAATCCAACAGCCCCGGAGGCTGCTGAGAGCTGGAAGGCAGAGAGATGGGTGGCAGGAGCCTGGGTGTGCTTTGGGTGACACATCCCCCAGGGACAGAGCCAAGAGCTCCAGGCAGTGCTCAAACAACAGCTCAAGTGTTGCGTGGTAACATGCAGTTGTCACCAAACCTGGGAGCTCTCACTTGTTTGAAACCAGCTCTTTCCTAACAGCATCCTCCCACAAGGAAACCCCTGGGTGACACCAGCACAGGTCACCCCAGGTGACACCAGCACAGGTCACCCCGGGTGACACCAGCACAGGTCACAGCTGGGTGACACCAGCACAGGTCACCCCTGGGTGACACCAGCACAGGTCACAGCTGGGTGACACCAGCACAGGTCACACCTGGGTGACACCAGCACAGGTCACAGCTGGGTGACACCAGCACAGGTCACCCCGGGTGACACCAGCACAGGTCACAGCTGGGTGACACCAGCACAGGTCACCCCCAGGTGACGCCTCCAGGCTCCTCTCTGAGCACTCATGGCATTATTTGTGTGTTGGCATTTCCTTGCTTTCCACCTCAGTGCACCTCTTCCTGCATGCCAGTGCTGCCCAAGCCACGGGATGTAGGTAGACACCAGCCTGTCACTGGTGCCAGCATGGCCCAAGATGTTTCCAAGCCCGACTTTCTCAGCCTTTCTTTGTATTGGAGGTGCTCAAGCCCCTGATCATCCCCATGGCCTCCTCTGCACTCGCTCCAACAGCTCCACGTCCCTCTTGTGCTGCTGCCCCAGAGCTGGATCAAGGCTGCAGGGGGGTCTCCCTAGAGCACAGCAGAGGGGCAGGATCCCCTCCCTGAGCTGCTGCTCACGCTCTGGGGGTGCAGCCCAGCACACGGGGGGGTTCTGGGCTCAAGCACTCACTGAAGCTGGGTCATGGGGAGCTTCTTATTGACCAGCCCCCCAAGTCCTTCTCAGGCTGCTCTGAATCACTGCTCCACCCGACCTGGAGCTTATCAGCTTCACTGCAAGCAGAACAGGTTTCTGCTGTTATGAAGCCCAGCACTGAACTGGGCTGACAACCAGGCGCCTCCAGAAACCAGAGCTCCTCCCTCAGTGCCAGGTTTGTAAGAACAAGTGGGACGGATGCTTGTCAGGGACAGTCAGGATGCACTCTCTGAGGCGGGGGTGGATGGTGCCAGGGTCTCCAGCCCCACGCTCCTGCACTCAGCTGGATCTCAGGGCTTGCTCTGTATGTCTGGTTGGGAAAAGAAGAAAGTTGACCAGTTGTGCTTGCCTACAGCCACCTTCTCCATCTGCTGCTGACACTTACCCCCTTCACTGCCTTCAATACCCCTTTCCTTGCTGTTTTTTCTCCGAAGTTGCTGAAGTCACTGATCCTTCTTTTCCCCAACAGTGGATTCATTTACCCTCCCTGAGCCTCTGGAAACACCCCTGGAAATCCAACCAGCCATGAAACACGTTGTTTGGCTCCTCTCTAAAAGCACAAGGAAAAGCTCTATCCCTTTCCCATCCCTGTTCTGTTCCCTCGAAGGACACCAGGCCTTGGAAGAGGTATTTTACTCCTGCTCCCTGAGCTGTCCCCAGCCCATGGCCCTTTAACCACAGCAGCCCTTGGTTTCAAACGGGCAGCAGCAGCAGAGGGAAGGACCGCGCTGCTTTATTGCTGGGACAGGACCGAGCTTTGGCTTCCTACCGGAGCAGCTGAGCGTTGCTGTGTGCTGGGAGGCCGCGGGCCGGAGCCTGCAGGAGGAGCTCTCCAGACGCCTGTCTCGGTCCCTTTTCCATCAGTGGGAGCTGCGTGTTCCGAGGGTGCTGCTCCATCCCCAGCCCGAGGGGCCGCCGCCTGCCCGCTCCTGCGGCTCAGCACTTCCAGTGACTTCTCAAACCTCTGCGTTGCCTTCCTCCTGCGCTCCAGCCTCCGCTCCTGCTGCTTCACGAACTGCTGCTGGAGCTGCTCGTGGAAACGCTCCGTCTTCCTTTTGGCCTCTTCAAAGTGCTTTGCCTTCGTGCAAGCAAATGCAAGATCTTCCAGTCAGCATCCCAACCATGCAAGAAAGAGTTCCAAGGGGATGCTTGTCTTTGGGAAGAGGGACATCCCACCACATCCCTCACTGTGCTCAAGGTGGCCTCCAGACATTCCTAAGTATAACTCTAACTTGCTCTGAAGAGCATTCAAACCATGCTGCCTCTGACTGCAATTCACATTGTGCCGCTGCAAGAAGCAGGTCTGGGGGACAGAACCATCACTCCCTGGCATTCTTCCTTCTCAAACCAGCCCCTCACACTGGTAACCAAAGGGCTGTGTTATCAGGCTGGCCAAGGCCAGTGTGGTCACCGGTTGAGTGGGCTCTCAACCCGCACTTACAGGGCAGATGAGCCTCACATCACCCGCACTACACAGGCTGGTTGTAACCCAGAGCTAATTCACCAGTGTCCACACTGCCCTGAGGCCTTGAACCCAGCATCATGAACACCGGCAGGCAGCAGGGAGGATCTCCTGAGCACACCCTGCCTGGAGGTTACCATCAGCCCTTGGAGTTGTGGGCTCAGGGAACACCCAGCCAAGGAGAAGGCGCTCTCATCCCTGTGAGCAGGAGCAAACCTCCAGTCAGGAGCTCTTGGTCACTGGTTCATGTCTCAAGGACAGATTTGAGCAAGAGACACAGGGAATCGAAACCATCAGACGTTCATTTCGGTGTTCGACTCTACCTGGCACATTCCCACAGGGGAGCCTATCTCATCTGCCATTGCTAATGAACCTGGTCCTGCTGGACCCAAAGAGGGAAGCTCTAAAGAGGGGCTCAGGCTGCTAAATGTTGTTAAACCTTTGCCGGGAGCCCACATGTCAGCACCTCACCCCTTCCTAGTACTTAACCCTCGGTCTCCCTACATAGGAACAAATCTAAGTCAGGTTAAGTCTGTAGCTTATGGCTCCAGACCCCAGCTCACTGGCAGGTAGGATGGGGCAGCAGCATTGCATCCTGAGGTCAGGCTGGAGGTGCAACCTTCCACACCAAAGGCAGCCCAGGAGCCTCGAGCTGCCTCCCCTGACCATTTGCCTCCTACTCCCCTGAAGAGATCCTCGGCACCCACATCCTCATCCATCAGGATGGAGGCCAAAGGGCTGAGGACCTCACCCATGGTTTAAGGACTCCAAGGCACAAACCCTTCCCTTGTGCTGACGGTGACCATGAACCCCATCCCAGGGCCCTGCAGGCAGTGGTGGCCTCACCTTCTTCTGCAGGAGCAGCAGAGTATGGCTGCTGCTGGAGCTGGACACCTGGCTCCTGAACCAGGCACTGTCCTGCTCGAGGTCCAAGTCTGCAAAGCTGCTCCAAGGGAGAGGGGGCTTCGTGTCACACAGAGCAGGGTGCAGGGGTGCTCAGCAGGACCCCTCTTCCCATAGACCCAGAGGCGTGAGAGTGCCCATGCCCCACGTGAGGGACCCCCATCCCTATGTGAGGGTGCCCATCCCCATGTGAGGGACCCCCATCCCCATGTGAGGGTCCCCCATGCCCATGTGAGGGTGCCCATCCCCCTGTGAGGGACCCCCATCCCCATGTGGGGGTCCCCCATCCCCATGTGAGGGTGCCCATCCCCATGTGAGGGTCCCCCATCCCCATATGAGGGTCCCCCATCCCCATGTGAGGGACCCCCATCCCCATATGAGGGTGCCCATCCCCATGTGAGGGTCCCCCATCCCCATATGAGGGTCCCCCATCCCCATGTGAGGGACCCCCATCCCCATATGAGGGTCCCCCATCCCCATGTGGACACCCGAGGTACCCAAGCCCTCACCGGGCCCCCCCAGGCTGCCGGCTCTGTGGCGGTGGGAAGAAGGTGATGCGAGGCCGCGCTCTGTCCTGCTCCGCCATGGCCCCGAGTGCTCTCTGCTGTGCTGGTTGCCATGGGAGGCCCCCGACACTCCCTGGTGCCCCGGCGCTCCCAGGCAGCAGAGCCTGGACTGACCCCTCTTGTCCCATCACCCAGCCCAGAGCCAGCTCTGGCAGCAGCTCTGCACCCGGTGAGCATCAGGACCCACAGCGACAGGACAAGGTGATGGGTTTGAACTGAAACAGGGGAGGCTCAGGTTGGCTCTAATGCAGAAGCTCTTCCCTGTGAGGGTGCTGAGGCGCTGGCACAGGGTGCCCAGAGAAGCTGTGGCTGCCCCATCCCTGGCAGTGTTCAAGGCCAGGTTGGACACAGGGGCTTGGAGCAAGCTGCTCTAGTGGAAGGGGTCCCTGCCCGTGGCAGGGGTTGGGACTGGAGGAGCTTTAAGGTCCCTTGAACCCAAACCAAGCTGGATTCTGTGATCTCTGCCAGGGGTGATTCTCCCTGTTTATGAAGTAAGAGCAGTACTGCTGCTCAGAGTACAAAGGAGCTGTTGTGGCCCCTTGGCAAGGCACCAAGGAAAAGCCAACAGCAGTTTTCCAGACCCGAGCCAGAGCATTAAAACTAAACTTATCCGAGGGGGCTGGAGCAGGGAATCTGTGCTCTGAACCCAGAGGATCTGCGGTACCACCAGGGAGGTGACTGGAGATAGAATCAGCACAGTTTAAGCTGTGAAGTTGGTTTTCACGTGTTCTGTGTCTCAGGGCACTGAGGGGGCCCCTGAAGCAGTCCCGTGCTGGGACAGGGTTGTTTTATCCCAGCACAAGCTGTGCTAGCGCAGGGCAGGAGCGAGCTGTGAGTCAGGATGTTTGGAGCGTTACCAGGGTTTGTTTTTCCTAACTGGGATGTAACTCCAGGTTTTGAGACAGCAGCTCCAAGCCCAGTCATCTGCTGCATTCCAGAGAGGGCAGGAAGAGACTCCAGCATCCGCCGTCATGGAACCATGGAGTCATGGAATGGTTTAGTGGGAAGGGACCTTGCAGCTCCTCCAGCTCCAACCCCTGCCACGGGCAGGGACACCTTCCACTAGAGCAGCTTGCTCCAAGCCCCTGTGTCCAACCTGGCCTTGAACACTGCCAGGGATGGGGCAGCCACAGCTTCTCTGGGCACCCTGTGCCAGTGGCACAGTTCTTTATCCCTCCGATACCGCAGTGACTGGAGCTCACACAGAGCCTGGGCCACCAGAGCATGGGCAGAAGTGAGCGCTAAGATCTGAGCCTGTAGAAGCTCTGCCTTTCTGGGGGATGTGCGCATCCCGTGCTCCTGCTCAACAGAAGGATAAACGATGTGGGCTGCAGGTTCCCGCAGGATACACCGCTGCCCTCGGCGCGGGGCACCCTGGGCTGGGCTGAGTGGGGTTTGTGTGTGCAGGGGCTGGGCTGGCTCTGGGGTTCTTTGCTTTCAGTGTTAGGCAGTTGTGCCCTGGGGCACCGGAGCAGAGCAGTGAGCGGGTGCCAGGCAGGGCGAGCAGGGAAGGCAGCAGCAACCCCAGGCTGGCAGGGGGGGGTCACAGCACTTCTGGAGGCGCTGAAGCAGAGGAGGGGCTGCAGGGGCCTGAAGGGTCTCCCTGTCCATCCCCTGGCCTCCAGCGGGGCTCGGGCTGTGTCCATCCCCCTCAGGTCCCACTCTGCACCGCTGGCCATAGCACCCTTCACGTTGTCCGGCCTCGGGCCTCACTGTCCTGCCACAGGGATGCATTTTCCTTCAGGTCTACCCTAAAAAAAGGTTTTTCCATGGTTTCAGCTCCAGAGCCGGGTGGTCCCTGGCACCGTGTGAGGACGGTGACGTGGTGGTGTCAGACCACAGCCCGCATGTGAGGGAAGGTGTCACTTGCTGCCTTTGGCTCCCAACTTAGCAAGTGCCCGTCCTGCTGCAGCTCTGAGCCTCCCGACATCCCTAGGGCAGCAGCTAATCCCCTGTCCTGAAACACAGATAATGTGAGCACAGTAAAGCCACCCTGATGTCCCATCCCCTGCATGGGGACACACTGCTCCTCCAGCAAGGGCAGCAGCTCCCAGCTCCCACGGCGCTCCATCACTGCCTCACAGGAGCATTGCAGCAGCAGTTTAACACCAGATCCAGAAGAAACTTCCCTCATAACAACACCACCCCATCGGACACACATCCCTTTCTCCCACCTGGAGCTCCTCGCCACCAGCACCTCCAGCACAGTGGGACCAAGCACATGGGGGTGCCACCCATCCCCACTGCTGCTGCATTCACGTGCCCATGCGGGGCCGTCCCCATCCTTCCCTGCCTCAGGGTCTGCTCCCCAGGAAGGTGGCTTCTGCGATGCCACCAGACCTGGCGCATGGGCACTGTGCCGGTGGGAAGCCTGATCCTTCCCAAGGCCGGAGCATTGGGATGCCACCGGGCTGAGGTCATGGCCTGAAATACCCATGAGAGGGCCACAGCTCCGGGCCAGCACCTTCATGGGCAGCACCACAGCCCCCAGCCCAGCTCCAGCCCCCAGCCCGCAGAGGGACCTGGCCACATCCTTGGAGCAGTGGGCATGGAAACCAGGGCCAGCAAAGCCCAGCTGAGCAACCGCCCCCAGTGGAACGGGTCCCTGCCCATGGCAGGGGTTGGGGCTGGAGGAGCTTTAAGGTCCCTTCAACCCAAACCAGGCTCGGTTCCATGCAGGCAGGATCTGGGCAGACCCTGGTGCCAGCAGATGGGTCCGGGGCCGGGATGGGCATTCCCTGGGGAAGGGCTCCGTGCCCACAGGCAGGTCCTGCTCCTCCCGTCCCTTGGCAAGGACAGCGCAGGTCTGGGGTCCCGGAATGTCCTGGGAGGGGTTTCCCCAAACCCATCCCTGCAGACACCCTGGGAGCGGCCTTTGGAGGGGAACTGGGAAACAAAAGCGACTCCCAACGCCGCCCGCTATGGGGCAGCCCCTGCAATGGGAGCCTGAGCGCCCGCAGGCTCACGGCCCTCGGCGTGCGCTGGGGAAGGAGCCGCTCCTGGGAGCCTTTGGGAAGTGCGCTGATGGGTGCAGCGCAGTCACCGCTCGGGAATGGGGAGGGAGCAGCGGCTCTGCCTGCGGGTGACGCGGCCGGGGGGAGGCACCGGCGGGCGCTGCTCCCCGGGACCGGGCAGGGCCACGCTGCGGGCACCACCCGGGCACCGGGTGCGGGTCCCAGGGCCCCGCGCTGCGGCACGGAGACGGCACCGGCCCTGGTGGGAGCAGCAGCGCCGGGAGCTGGGGCACCCGGGGGCTCCTGGGCCTCCGCGCGTTCCTGCACCGCGGGTTCAGAGAGCCACAGCCTGGGATGGGTGGAAGGGACCTTAAAGCTTCTCCAGCTCCAACTCCAACCCCTTCCACTAGAGCAGCTTGCTCCAAGCCCCTGTGTCCAACCTGGCCTTGAACACTGCCAGGGATGGGGCAGCCACAGCTTCTCTGGGCACCCTGTGCCAGCGCCTCAGCACCCTCCTCCCTGCCCCACCCGGGAATGACCCAGGAGCCGGGCGGAGCACGACAAAAATAGAGCTTTATTTTGGGACAAGGGCAACCAGAGCAGGGCCCTTCGCCCGCCGCGGTGCCGGTGCCGCTGAACCCGCGCTGGACGTCCCTTTGCTGTCCCGGAGCGATGCGAGCGGGTCCGAGCCGTCCCCGTCCCCTTTGCTGGGCTCCGGCCCTGCCGCTCTGCTGCTCCAGCCTCGGCACGCCGGGAACGGTGGGGCTGGAGCTGGGGTGGCCGCAGGACACGGGGGGGACGGGGACAAAGGGGGGACACGGACCTGGCCCTGGCATTTGTTCAGCCATGAGAACCGCGTGTACACGGCCCCGGGTGTACCCCAGCCAGCAGAGCAGTCACACACACGTGTGCGCACACGTGCACACAGACACACATGTGCACACATACATGTGCACACACAGACATACACATGTGCACACAAACATACATGCGCACACAGACATACATGTGCACACATACATGTGCGCACATACATGTGCACACACAGACATACACCTGTGCACACAGACATACATGTGTGGGCACACACTGCGCTGTGATAGCATCCAGATGCATGGAGCTGTGTATCCACAGCCGTGTCCCCAAGTGTGCCCAGCCTGGGGACACACATGTAGAGCCATGGCACACACATGTAGGTACGTGCCAGCAGTACCTGTCACACACGGGTCTGTGCAGATCTGGGTACATGTGGAGGTGCATCTGCACACACAGCTCCTGTGCACACCAACACACACATGTTCCGTGCACAGACACGTGCGCAGGGACACGCCTGTGCACAGCAGGCTCTGCACACGCAGCAACACACTCGCACACACAACACCCGTGCACACAGACACGTTCCTATGTACAGAGCGCACATGAGACCTGCTGGAACACACGGAGCTGCACAGCAGCACGTGTGCCCCAGGCACGCACGGCAGCACACAGGGCCTGTGCACGCAGAGCTCTGCATGGGCCCCCTCGCACACCGGAGCTGTGTACATCAACACACGTGTGCGCAGGGCTGAGCACACCAAGACACGCGCACGCGGTGCTGTGCACACCAGCACACACGTGTGCAGTGCCGGGCACACCAGCACATGTGCACACAGCGCTGAGCACCTCAGCAAGCCCGTGTGCACAGCTCTGTGCACGTGCAGAGCCCTGCGACCCAGCAGACACGCTGCACACAGAGCTGTGCACGGCAGCACACACGTGCAGTGCCGCACGCACCAGCACACCCGGCTCTGTGCACACCAGCAAACACGCGTACACACAGTACTGTGATGTGCACAGGGCCACGCACACCATCAGTTGTGTTCACACAGACCTGTGCGCACCAGCACTGCTCTGTGCACAGCACCATGCTCCTCGGCACATCCATGTGCACACAGAGCTGTGCACACCAGCACACCCATCACTGTGCATGCCAGCACACACATCACTGTGCATGCCAGCACACACATGCACACACACCGTGCACACCAGACGTGTTCACACCTGCACACCCGTGTGCACAGCCGTCACGGTGAGCTCAGCACACCCATGTGCACACATCACTGTGCACACCAGCACACACACCATGCACACCAGACGTGTTCACACCTGCACACCCGTGTGCACACACATCATGGTGAGCTCAGCACACCCATGTGCACACATCACTGTGCACACCAGCACACACACACCGTGCACACCAGACGTGTTCACACATCACACCCATGTGCATGGACATCATGGTGAGCTCAGCACACCCATGTGCACACATCACTGTGCGCACCAGCACACACACACCGTGCACACCAGACGTGTTCACACATCACACCCGAGTGCACACACATCACGGTGAGCTCAGCACACCCATGTGCACACACACCATGCACACCAGACGTGTTCACACATCACACCCAAGCGCACAGCCGTCACGGTGAGCTCAGCACACCCACGTGCACACATCACTGTGCACACCAGCACACACACACCGTGCACACCAGACGTGTTCACACATCACACCCGTGTGCACGCACATCATGGTGAGCTCAGCACACCCATGTGCACACATCACTGTGCACACCAGCACACACACACCGTGCACACCAGACGTGTTCACACATCACACCCGTGTGCACGCACATCATGGTGAGCTCAGCACACCCATGTGCACACACACCGTGCACACCAGCACACACACACCGTGCACACCAGATGTGTTCACACATCACACCCGTGTGCACGCACATCATGGTGAGCTCAGCACACCCATGTGCACACACACCGTGCACACCAGACGTGTTCACACATCACACCCGAGTGCACACACATCACGGTGAGCTCAGCACACCCATGTGCACACATCACTGTGCACACCAGCACACACACCGTGCACACCAGACATGTTCACACATCACACCTGTGTGCACGCACACCATGGTGAGCTCAGCACACCCATGTGCACACACACCGTGCACACCGGACGTGTTCACACATCACACCCAAGTGCACAGCCGTCACGGTGAGCTCAGCACACCCGCGTGCTGCACCGTCACCACCATGGCTCCCGAGCCCGGCTCCGCGCTGTCCCTCCTCATGGCTGCGGTGCCCGGGCCCAGCGCCCCGCGAGGAGCCGGGGCTGGTGGAGCAGGAGCAGCCCGGCCAGCGCCAGCGCGGTGCCCGCGTAGCTGAGCCCGCTCAGGCGGGTGCCGAACACGAGGCGCGACAGCAGCAGGTTCCCCACCACGGTGACGCTGCCCAGCACGTGCACGGTGAGCGCGGAGGTGAGGGCCAGGACGCGCGACGTGGCCAGGTTGTAGAGCACGGAGCCCAGGCAGCTGAGCAGCACCCAGCCCCACAGGGTGCTGTCGTAGTGCAGGACCCCGTCCCAGGAGGGCCCCACTTCCAGCACCACCGCAGCCCCCAGGAGCAGGCAGAAGCTGGGCAGGGACGTCAGGCAGAGCAGGGAGAGTGCATCCAGCCGGTCCTCCTGCAGCAGGACACCTGTGGGGACACGGGACAGTCAGTGGGGATGGCCCCCGGGGAACACCTGCACCCAGAGGGGCACCCACCAGCATGAGCCCTTGTGCCCAGGGCCCAAATCACAGAACCAACCAGGCTGGAAAAGCCCTTTAAGCTCTCCCAGTCCAACCCTTCCCAGCACTGCCAAGGCCACCACTGCCCCATGGCACTGGGGCCTCATCTCCACGGGGTGTGAACACTTGCAGGGCCGGTGACTGCAGCCCTGCCCTGGGCAGCCTGTTCCAATGCCTGAGCACCCTCTGGGGCAGGAATTGTTCCTCAGCTCCATCTAAACCTGCCCTGGGGCAGCTTGAGGCCGTTTCCTCTTGTCCCATCCCTTGTTCCTTGGGAGCAGAGCCCAGCCCCTCCTGGCTCCATCCTCCTCTCAGGCAGTTGTAGGGAGCCATCAGGTCCCCCCTGAGCCTTCTCTTCTCCACACTGAACCCCCCAGGTCCCTCAGCCCTTCCCCATCACACTTGGGCTTCAGGCCCTGCACCAGCTCCAGTGCCCTTCTCTGGCCCCGCTCCAGCACCTCAATGCCTCTTGTGAGAGGCTCAGAGCTGAACACAGTCACTAGGAAGGGGGAACTGGGGAACTGGGGGTGCCCTGGGTCAGGGGATGCCCCAGGAGCAGGATGGATGGAGCCGGTTCCTGGTCCTGTCCTGCAGTTTCCATGCCCATCTCCTCATCCTGCACCACTCCCGGGCACTGTCCCCCCTCTCTGGGTCACCAGAGGACAGCAGGCACAGCCAGGGGGGCTGCACAGGGGGGCACATGTTGTGTACCCAGCGCCACTCACCATGTCCCAGGTGGGTGCTGAGGGAGCCCATGGATGGGACTGGGCGGTTTGGGTGTTCCAACACTATGGCACTGCCACCCCCCAGGGCCCCAGGACATGGGGCAGTGTCACTGGGAGCCAGCCACAGGGACACCAGCGCATTTGTCACCAACAAAGCAGGGTCACACCAGGTCATGGCACCATGCTGGAGGTGGCTGGTGGGTGTGGGTGACACTGGGGTGACACCAGGGACAGGGTGGTACTAGAGTGACACAGGGTGATCACCGGAGTGATGCCAGGGACAGGGTGGGCAAGGGTGGCACTGGGGTGGCACCAGGAACAGGGTGGGCAGCGAGTGATGCCAGGGCCAGGAATGCAATTGATGGCCCTGGAATTGGGGTGGGACTAGGGCTAAAGTAGCATCAGGAGCCAAAGTGCCCGAGGGTTGGGGTGGCGCTGGTGCCAGGGAGCAGCACCAGCACCAGGGTGGTGCTGGGTGCCACCAGCACTCCTGTGCCCTGAGGGCTGTGATGGGGAGGGCATGCGGGCAGGGCAGGGGACAGGCAGGACAGGGGACAGGCAGCACACGGGGCGGGCAGGACAGGGGACGGGCAGGACACGGGGCAGGACGGGGCGGGCAGGGCAGGGGACGGGCAGGACAGGGGACAGGCAGCACACGGGGCGGGCAGGACAGGGGACAGGCAGGACAGGGGACAGGCAGCACACGGGGCGGGCAGGGCAGGGGACAGGCAGGACGGGGCGGGCAGGGCAGGGGAGAGGCAGCACACGGGGCGGAGGAGCGGCACTTACTCTGCTGGATGGACTTGAGGGCGCGGAGCACGGCAGCAGCCAGCAGGAAGCCGCAGCCGGGCTGGTGGCCGCTGGCGATGGCGCAGGCGGCCCCGGCGCACACGGGCCCCATGGCCACGTACTGCAGCGGGTGGTGCCGCCGGCGCCCCAGCACCCGCGACAGCAGCAGCGTCACCAGCGGCGTGGTGACAGCCACCGCCTGCGCCACGTCCAGCGGCACGGAGCTCAGGCCCAGGTTGCCCATGGCCACGCTGGTGCAGAAGGTGATGCTGAGCAGGTAGATCCTGGCGCGGTGCCGCGGGGCCGGTGGCGCCAGCCCCCGCGCCCAGCCCAGCGCCTGCCCCACGGCCGCCCCCGACAGCATGTGCAGAGCCGACAGCAGCAGCGGGTACCGGAACCCGTGCGCCGAGAAGATCCATTTGTTGAGGCCGGCCATGGTGGTGCCGGTGCCCAGCCAGGCCAGCACCGTCAGGGTCAGCGGCACCGACGGCCACGGCGGGGCCCGACCGCCCTGCGCCTGCCCCGGGTCCGGCTTCCAGGGCCGGCGGCTGCCCTCGGCGGTGGTTGGCATCATCGCTGCCTCATCGCCGCGCCGGGACCGCGGGCACATGGGCACCGGCTCCGCTCCCCGCCGCTGCCACCCTGCGCTCTGCCCCGTCCTCCCGCGCCGAGCTCGGCCGCCGGTGGTGCTGGTGCTGCCGGTGGCGGTGCCGGATCCGCCCGGTGCCCGCTGTCAGGGCTCAGCCGCGGGGCGCTGCTGCCATGTGCGAGGGCGGCGATGCCAGCGGCGAGCGGGAAGTTTGGCGATGGCGGGAGGGAGGGAGCGGCCGCGGGGAGGCTCCTCCCCGGCTCCGCGTCAGCGCCGCCCGGGCGGGGGCACCGGCTCCGCGTCAGAGCCCCCCGGTGCGGCTGCCCCCGCGGCGGGGACACCGCGACCCCGACCCGCAGCGCCCGGCACCGCCTCCAGGGGCTGGGGCTGGGTTAAAGCCCTGGAGCAGGGCTGGGACGCACCCGGGAGGCGGCACCGCGGCCACCACGGGGCCCCAACGCTTGGGGTTGGAGGGCGCCCAATGCGTCCCGCCCAGAGGATGGCCCTGGCTGTGACTCACGGGGGATGTGCTCCGGCTCAGGCTGCCCAGAGCCGGCCGCTTTGGGCACCCCAAATACTGCCTCCAGCAGCTGCTGCCCCATCCACTCACAGAGCTGCTGCTCTGGGTGCTTCCATCCCACCATGCACAAAGGACACAGGGCATCGTGTGTCCCCCCTCCTCTCCCTTCTCCCCCCCCCCCAGGGCAGATCTGGGGTGCTGGCACCCAGGCGCAGGAAAGCAGGAGGCAGGAGATAGCAGGGTCTGTGCCTGGGCAGGCAGTTCATTGCCATCACCCCTATCCTCTACCACTCGGTGAGGCGCAGGATGAGGGTCTCCCCATCGCAGGGTCTGTAGTCACCAACACCTGTGGAGAGAGGGACAGCCCCGGGTGGGAAAGTGGCCGTGGGGACAGCCAGGAACCCCCTGCCTCCCGTGGGTTCCGTCACTCACCCATCTGCAGGCTGGTGCTGGGCGCAGTGAGGAGCTGCCAGTACGTGCGCTTCTGCTGCTGCGCCTCCAGCCCCAGCACCCCGCTCAGGTAGGGGCCCTGGGGGGTGTCCCGGGTGTCAAACCTGGCGGGGGGCAGATGAGGGTGAGGGTCCAGCCCCAGCACTGCCGGGTGGATGAGCCCGCGGATGGGTGCACAGCGCACGGCCACGCTGGGTGTGAGGGTCACATACGTGAAGTCGGGGGGTCCCTGCTCAGTGGCCGCCCTAAGCACATCCAGGAGGGTGGCACCGGCGGGTACAAGCACCGGGTGGTCGTAGAGCCAGCGCTCGGGACACGGTGGCAGAGGACACTCCACCACCAGCCGCACCGTCTTGTTCCCCGGCAGCTCCGACAGCGGCTCGGGGCTGATGGGCGTCAGTGTGTCTGCGAGAAGCCATCACGGTGCTGATGGGCACCAGGCCACCACCGCAGTGCCAGCGGTGCCCGTGCCCCCCCCAGCTGTCCCCAGCTCCTACCCAGCTCCTCCTCGCAGCGCATGGAGGAGATGTCCAGGTAGGAGCGGCCGTAGAGCACCGGCAGCGCCTGTGCCAGCGTGGCGGCGGTGCTGAAGGCGTCCACGTGCTGCAGTAGCGCAGCCATGGCCCGGCCGTACGGAGCCTGCGCCTCGCACGAGTTGGTGGCGATGAAGACCTGGAGCCAGAGGGAAGAAGGGGATGGGGCAGCGTCCCGAGGAGGGAGGCGGCTCAGAGCACTGGGCTGTGGGCACCACAGTGAGCTGAGCACTGCCTCTGCCCCAGTACCCACATCTGCACCCATACCCCTGCTTATAGAGCCATAGGATCACAGAGTGAAAGGGAAAGGCTGGAAAGGATCCTAAAACTCACTCAGTCCCAACCCCCTGCCATGGTCATGGGGAGCTTCCCATCACCCAACACCCCTTCTCCTCAGGGCTGCTCCATCCCATTTCCACCCCGCCTTTGTGCCCTGACTCAGAGGCATGACATTGCACTTGGCCTTCTTGAACCTCATGATGTTCACACTGTGTCTATGCTCACACCCATGTCTACACCCATGTCCCAAACCCATAACCCATGCTGGTGTCCCCCCACACTGGACACCCACCTGCATGGCCCAGGGGGTGCTGTAGACGTTGCCGAAGAAGCCATCCTCGCCCTGTGCCTCCACCATCCTCTTCCTCGCCTCGTGCACCGCTCCCCGCAGCTCCGCCGCCAGCGTGGACCCCACCAGCCGCTCCTGCTCCAGGCAGGTGAAGGCCATTGCCACCACTGCCTCTGTGTCTGTGGGGACAGGGTGTCACCACGCAGCCACACACCCACCCTCGGTGCCACCACCCCACCGATCCCCAGGGACCCTTTACCTACGGCACTGCCGGCACTGTACCCGAACTTGGCGTGCTGCTCAGCGGCCAGGAGCCGGCGGATCACCTCCTCCCGCACCCGCTTGTGGTGCACGCACAGCGCCAGCACACCCAGGCCGTACTGGTAGTAACTGGTGATGGGGTGGCCGTGCCGCCTGGAGCCTGGGGACAAGGGCTTGTGTCACTGTGGCCAGGTGGGTGCTCGCTGTGGTCATGCCATGGGGCTGCTCTCACCTGCCCAGTCCTCCTCCAGGTAATACTTGAGCCACGTCACCAGTGAGCGCAGCAGCTTGTGCTCCAGCGGGGAACACGTGGCCCTCAGCCCCAGCAGGTACAGTGCCAGCCGCCCCGTCTCCAGCCACTCCGCATCAGTGCTCCTGCAAACACCCCGTCATCCCCCGCAGCACACCAGTACCCATCACCCCTGCAGCACACCAGTACCCATCACCCCTGCAGCACACCAGTACCCATCACCCCTGCAGCACATCAGTACCCATCACCCCTGCAGCACACCAGTACCCATCACCCCTGCAGCACACCAGTACCCATCACCCCTGCAGCACACCAGTACCCATCACCCCTGCAGCACATCAGTACCCATCACCCCTGCAGCACACCGGTACCCGTCACCCCTGCAGCACACCGGCACCCATCATCCCCACTGCAGCACACCAGTACCCATCAACCCCCCCCACAGCACACCGGTACCCATCACCCCCACTGCAGCACACCAGCACCCATCATCCCCCCCCGCAGCACACCGGTACCCATCACCCCCACTGCAGCACACCAGTACCCATCAACCCCCCCCGCAGCACACTGGTACCCATCACCTCCCCTGCAGCACACCGGCACCCATCATCCCCCCCACAGCACACCGGTACCCATCACCCCCACTGCAGCACACCAGTACCCATCAACCCCCCCCGCAGCACACTGGTACCCATCACCCTTGCAGCACACCAGCACCCACCACCCCCACTGCAGCACACCGGTACCCGTCACCCCCCCCACTGCAGTGGTGCTCATCACCCTGCCAGCAGAGGGGACTGTCCCTGTGTGGAACACACACGTACGTGCTGTGCTCGGTGTCTGCAGCATGGTGCTGGGGATCTCCAGCTGCCTGCAGGCTCCTGTGGGGACTCGGTGTCAGCGGAAGGCCAGGGGACACCCCGCAGTGACGCAGGGGACACGCGGGGTGCCCCACAGGACCTACAGGCCGTAGCGGTGCTGGAAGGCATCCTGCAGCCGCTCCAGGTACTGCTGCTCCCGGCGCAGGTCGTGCTCCCCGGCCAGGCGAAGCGCCAGGTACACGCTGGGGTCAGGGTCCCGCTCAGGATCCGCAGCCAGCGCCAGCAGCCGGGAGCTCAGAGCCCGCAGCACGGCCGCCTGCCCCGGGGCTTCTACCGGCCCCAGCAGGGAGCAGAGGGTGAGGGGGGCAGGAATGCCCCGGGGCACCTGCAGCACCCAGCACCGGTGGTGTGGGGCTGTGGTGGTGATGGAGACCCAGCACCCAAACGCTGCTGTGTGGCCCTGCCCTCTGCAACCCCCCTTCAGGTCCCCAGAGCTCAAGTCTCTGCCCCGAAATGGGAAATAAACATAAATGACACGAAGCAGGAGTGTGGAGAGCCCAAGGCAACCCACGGGGCTGGCGGGGGACTGGCAGGGCTGCCCTGTCCCCAGGGACATGGGTGGTTGGGGGCTGCAGGCGCTGGGAGGAAGGGGGCACAGGAATAAAGCTTAACCCCATAGAGCTCAGCCCTGGGCAAGCCATCACCAGAGCGGTTTCACCCGGCCAGCATCTGCCCCAGAGCCAGGGCACGGGGCTGGAGCACAGGATGGGGCTCGTGTCACTGCTCCTCAGGGACCTGCTCAGCAGGGGGGAGCCCCCGGGGGGGCTGCGGGGTGTGCCCGTGGCCATACTCACCGCAGAGCCGGGCGGGCAGGACCGCAGCCTGCAGCAGCATCAGGAGCAGCCACATGCTGCAGCGGGACGGCGGGTGCTGTGCCATGGCTCAGCACAGCGCGACGGGGTGAGCTGGGACAGAGCCGGGGACAGGGAGGTGTCACAAGAGGCTGTTTCCGCACACTGGAGCCGAGTCAGCAGGAACAGGGAAGAACTTCGGCTGGAGGTGAAGAGAAGGGAAATGAAGCCCGACCCCCGCGGGGCAGAGATAAGGAATTCCCGGCCCCCCTTCCCTCCCAGCTCCCCGACCCAGCGCAGCCCGGGTCAGCACGGGGTGGCCCTGCCCTGAGCCGGGGCAGCGAGACCTGAACCCCTGCCTGGGTCAGAGCCACCGGTCAAAGTCAGCAGCGAGAGATGGGGCTGGGAATCCCGTGCTCCCGCGCCCTCCGGGAGCCGTGACTCGCTGTCCGCATGGAACTGCAAACAAGGATTAACCAGCCCAGCACGGCAGCGGGTGCGGGGGGCTGAGCCCCACCAGGTAAACCCTGCCGTGGGGTCCCAGGGTGCTGCTGGGGACCCCCAGGCTCAGGGCAGGTGCTGGGCTGTGGGGACTGGCTCCTGTGCCCCACAGAACCCCTGCACACGGTGGGGGCTGAGGACGTGGCTCCTGGCATCTACAGGACACAGTGGGGAACCCAGGGAGCGCCCATGGGTGTCCCACTAGTGACAGGGGCAGGAGGTGACCCACGTCCCAGGGGCAGCTGCTCTCTGGAGGGCGGTGGGGAGGGATGAGGGTGCAGGAGGGCGCATGGCACCAACAGCACCCAGAGGCACCAGGGGCGGGTGAAGCACCCAGAGCGGCTGCAGCCTGCAGTGGGGACAAGAGCAGCTCCAGGGACACACCAGGGTCAGGTCCAAGCCCTCATTACCCATAGCCCCACACGGCACCACACAAACCAGCAGAGAATCAGCCTGGGTTGGGCTGAAAGGGCCTCAAATCTCTTCCAGCTCCATGCCCGACCCTGGGCAGGGACACCTGACACTGGGCAAACATCAAACTGCTTCAACAGCCGTCACCCTGAGAGCGTCCCGTCCCGGTGGATGTTCAGGGGATGCTCAGGTGCCACCAGCACGGCAGCACTGGGCCAGGAGAACACCCCCAGGAAAGCAGAGCCAGCAGAACCTCAACTCCTCTCTTCCATCAACCCCTGCCACCTTGGAATTGTTCCTTTTCCCCATTTTTGGTCTGGTGGTTTGGTTTGTTTCAATGCAAACAGCTCATTCCAGTGAAAACAGTGGGGCTGAGGAGCCCCCTCTGTGCTGGGAGCTGTAGGTTACAACCCCTCAGTGCTCAGTGCTGTTGGTTACAACCCCTCAGTGCTGGGAGCTGTTGGTTATAACCCCTCAGTGCTCAGTGCTGTTGGTTATAACCCCTCAGTGCTCAGTGCTGTTGGTTATAACCCCTCAGTGCTCAGGGCTGTTGGTTATAACCCCTCAGTGCTCAGTGCTGTTGGTTACAACCCCTCAGTGCTCAGTGCTGTTGGTTACAACCCCTCAGTGCTCAGTGCTGTTGGTTACAACCCCTCAGTGCTGTCGGTTATAACCCCTCAGTGCTCAGTGCTGTTGGTTATAACCCCTCAGTGCTCAGTGCTGTCGGTTATAACCCCTCAGTGCTCAGTGCTGTCGGTTATAACCCCTCAGTGCTCAGTGCTGTCGGTTATAACCCCTCAGTGCTCAGTGCTGTCGGTTATAACCCCTCAGTGCTCAGTGCTGTCGGTTATAACCCCTCAGTGCTCAGTGCTGTCGGTTATAACCCCTCAGTGCTCAGTGCTGTTGGTTATAACCCCTCAGTGCTCAGTGCTGTTGGTTATAACCCCTCAGTGCTCAGTGCTGTCGGTTATAACCCCTCAGTGCTGTCGGTTATAACCCCTCAGTGTTCAGTGCTGTCGGTTATAACCCCTCAGTGCTCAGTGCTGTTGGTTATAACCCCTCAGTGCTGGGAGCTGTTGGTTATAACCCCTCAGTGCTCAGTGCTGTTGGTTATAACCCCTCAGTGCTCAGTGCTGTCGGTTATAACCCCTCAGTGCTCAGTGCTGTTGGTTACAACCCCTCAGTGCTCAGTGCTGTTGGTTATAACCCCTCAGTGCTCAGTGCTGTTGGTTATAACCCCTCAGTGCTCAGTGCTGTTGGTTATAACCCCTCAGTGCTCAGTGCTGTTGGTTATAACCCCTCAGTGCTCAGTGCTGTTGGTTATAACCCCTCAGTGCTCAGTGCTGTTGGTTATAACCCCTCAGTGTTCAGTGCTGTTGGTTATAACCCCTCAGTGCTCAGTGCTGTTGGTTATAACCCCTCAGTGCTCAGTGCTGTTGGTTATAACCCCTCAGTGCTCAGTGCTGTTGGTTATAACCCCTCAGTGCTCAGTGCTGTCGGTTATAACCCCTCAGTGCTCAGTGCTGTTGGTTATAACCCCTCAGTGCTCAGTGCTGTCGGTTATAACCCCTTTACCCGTCCCGTGTCACCAGCGCTAACCCCGGGACCGGCGCACACCAACCCAAACCTCAGCTCGTGACCCCGAGGCCCGGAGCCCCTGCGGGCACTCACCCCCGGCGCGGGGACCTGCGCCCCCCGCCACCACGAGTGGGTCCCCCCGGGCCCGGCCTCTCCCGAGCCACGGGGACTCCGGAGCCGAGGCCGCCCCGCGGGAGCCGCCGCCGCAGGACCCGGGGACGGGGCCTACACCGGGAGCCAGCCCCGCCCGCACACCCCGGCGTGCCCCGCGCTGCAGGACCCCTCCGACGGGGACGCGGGGGCTGCCCGCGGTGCGCCTGCCCCGTCCTGCCCTGCCCGGCCCCGTCCCGTCCCGTCCCGCTCCGCTCCGCTCCTGCCTCCCGCCCCGCTCACGCTGTCCCAGCCCCGCGCGGCTCCGGTGGGTGAGGGCCCCGCGCCCCGGTTGCAGGCAGCGCGCGGGCAGCCCGGGGTCCTGCGGCGCCGGGAGCACGCGGCAGCGGCGGCGCGGCCATGGGAGGGGTGGAGAAGAAGAAGGTACCGGTTACCCCCCCCCCCCCCTTCCCCCGCACCGGAGCTCCCCTGCTCCGGCACCCCGGTACCCGGCTGTGTCCGTACCGTGCCCATCCCCCCCCTCGGTACCCGGCTGTGTCCGTACCGTGTCCGTCCCCCCGCTACGCTCCCGTGTCCGTTCCCCCTTCCCCATCTCCCCCTGTACCTTCCCGTTCCCCCCCTCACCCCATCCGGTGCCGGGTCTCCCCCTCTTCTCGCCGTGCCTACTGGCTCTATTCCGCCCCGCCGGTTCCCGCTCCCCATCCCGGTGGCCGGGCTCCCTGTACCGACCCCCCCCCCCCCCGTCTCTCCACAGTACGAGCGCGGGGCCGCCACCAACTACATCACCCGCAACCGGGCGCGGAAGAAGCTGCAGCTGAGCCTGCCCGACTTCAGGTGCGCCCAGCGTCCCACCGGGACCCCCGCAGGAGATGGGGCCTGTGGCGGGGTGTCCCTATGGGCCCTCCCCATGGGGAGCCGGGGGTTGTGTCCCGCATGTCCCGGAGTCTCGGTCCCGGTGCTGTGGTTTTGGGTGTCCAAGGGGTGGCAGCACCACTGGGTGCTCCAGCCCCACGTCTCGCCCTTATCGCTGCCCCCAGGCGCCTCTGCATCCTGAAGGGCATCTACCCCCACGAGCCCAAGCACAAGAAGAAGGTGAACAAAGGCTCCACGGCTCCCAGGACCTTCTACCTCCTCAAGGACATCAAATTCCTCCTCCATGAGCCCATCGTCAACAAGTTCCGGGAGTACAAGGTGATTTCCCATCAGGAGCCCCTCAGGGGCCATGGGGGCTCGGCCTCTCCCGCAGCCCCCCCCCAGCATTCCCGCTGTCCCGCAGGTGTTTGTGCGGAAGCTCCGGAAGGCGTACGGCAAGAGCGAGTGGAGCACCGTAGACCGGCTGAAGGAGAACAAGCCCACCTACAAGCTTGACCACATTGTGAAGGAGAGGTGGGTGCGCTGCATGCCCTGCCCTGGCAGAGCTGTCCTCTGGGCAGGAGCTTGCCCTGGGGATGTGGAGCCTTCGCTGTGTCCGTCCCTCATTGGGGATCCATCTCCTGTGTGTATCTGAAGGGGGGGTGATGGAAACTGGTGTTTCTGGGCTGGAGGAGAAGGGCAGGGTGTGCTGCAAGCTGGCTGTAGCAATGCATGAGTGAGCAGGGAGTGCCTGGTCATCCCAGATGGATCTGGGATCTCCAGGAAGATGCTCAGAGCTCTCCTCCTCTCCCTGGGCACTGTTTTCCTCAGAGGGAGGGCTGATGGACGGCGACTCTTGGTGACTTGATGGGTTTGGTGGCAGTGGGAGAGGAGAAAACCAAAGCAGGGAAGGAACCTCATTGTCTCTTCCTTGTCCCAGTGGTGCCCGGGACCTCATTGTGCTGGTGCAGATTGAGGAAAGGGAAATGGCACCAAGGGGCAAGCCCTGCCCCAGCAAGCTTGGGATGGGGGATTCTGTGACTGCAGCACTGCTGGAGTGGTGGGACCTCACCATCTGACTGCAGCCTTTGAGTCCTGCAGCTTTCATCTGGCCAAGGAGTGCCCTGTGCTGTTGTGCTGCACCACAGGAGCATTGGTCCTGGTGGGTGCAGGCTGGGATTCAGCATCACAGGTTGGTCTGTGTTGGAAGGGACCTTAAAGCTCCTCCAGCTCCAACCCCTGCCACGGGCAGGGACCCCTTCCCCTAGAGCAGCTTGCTCCAAGCCCCTGTGTCCAACCTGGCCTTGAACACTGCCAGGGATGGGGCAGCCACAGCTTCTCTGGGCACCCTGTGCCAGCGCCTCAGCACCCTCACAGGGAAGAGCTTCTGCCTAAGAGCTCAGCTCAGTCTCCCCTCTGGCAGGTTCAAGCCATTCCCCTTGGCCTGTCCCTACATCCCTTGTCCCAAGCCCCTCTCCAGCTTTCCTGCAGCCCCTTCAGGCACTGGAGCTGCTCTCAGGTCTCCCCTTCAGGAGCCTTCTCTTCTCCAGGCTGACCCAGCCCAGCTCTCTCAGCCTGGCTCCAGAGCAGAGCTGCTCCAGCCCTCGCAGCAGCTCCGTGGCCTCCTCTGGCCTCACTCCAACAGCTCCACGTCCCTCTTGTGCTGCTGCCCCAGAGCTGGATCAGGGCTGCAGGAGGTTTCTTTCCAGAGCAACGCAGAGGGGCAGGATCCCCTCCCTGCTCTGCTGCTCACACTCTGGGGATCAATCCAGCACATGTGCCTGTGGGTGCTCTAAAACCTGTTGACACCACACGGTAACTGGGCTGTTGCTCTCCTGGCTCCTTGGAGAGCCCTGAGTCCCAGGAGCTGGTGTCCCCCGTGCCCAGCAGGGGCACCCCATCGCTGTGGGTCACCAGTTCGGTGGGATGTGCAGGAGGATGATGCTCTTTGGTTCCTGTCCCCTTGTCCTGCATGGTCTCCACGAGCCCCAGCAGCTCCTGGTGGACGTGGCTGTGTGTGATTCCTCCTCCTGCCCGGGCACAGGTATCCAACCTTTGTGGATGCACTGCGGGACCTGGACGATGCTCTCTCCATGTGCTTCCTGTTCTCCACCTTCCCGCGCACGGGCAAGTGCCACGTCCAGACCATCCAGCTCTGCCGGCGCCTGGCTGTGGAGTTCCTCAACTACGTGATCGCCTCCCGCTCCCTGCGCAAGGTGGGTGCTGCGGGAGGGGGGCCGAGACCCCCTGCCCTGGGGGATTGTGGTGGTGGTGATGAGCTTGTGCCCCTGGGTGGCACTGGACCCACTGTGCTGGTGCTTCAGCCTGGGAATGGGTGCTGCTGGGCTGCCTGATGCTCCCCTGGTGACCCCACTGACAAGGGAAGGGTTAACGAGAACGGGACAAGGGAGCACCCATGGTCTTCCTTCCCCTGAGCCTTCCCTCCATTCCCTGCCAGGTCTTCCTCTCCATCAAGGGCATCTACTACCAGGCCGAGGTGCTGGGGCAGCCCATCACATGGATCACCCCTTACACCTTTGCCCATGATGTGAGTACCGGGGGGAACGCAGCAGGATCTCCTCAGGACCCGCGCTGCTGCTGCCCCAATGCTGCCTTTGCTGGGTTGGGGAAGGGTTAGAATAGAATCACAGTCTGGCTTGGTGGGGATCCCCAAAGCTCATCTAATCCAGCCCCCTGCAGTAAGCAGGGACATCTTCAACTAGACCAGGTCGCTTAGTACCACATCCAGTCTGGCCTGGAACGTCTCCAGGAATGAGGCATCCACCACCAGTCTGGGCAACCTGTGCCGGTGTTTCACTGCCCTCATGGTGAAAAATGCCTTCCTCATGTCCAGCCCGAATCTCCTCTTTCAGTTCAAACCTGTCACCCCTTCATCAGACACAACAGGCGCTGCTAAAGTCCCTCCCAAGGACAGCTGAGGGACCATCCTGTGGCTCTCATGCTGTGGAACCCATAAAGGGCTTTAGGTGATCAGGTGGGGCCCAGCCCTCCAGGCTGACTGTCCCCGTGTCCCCATGCCTGGCTGTACCAGCCTCCCTGGTTCCTTGTCTTCTCTTTTTAATTACCAAATATGCCTTAATCAGCAATTAAAGATTAACCTGAGGAATGAGGCTTGTACCACTTAGTGAGGAGCCGAGTCAGACTCATCGCTGTGTTGCACCTTGCCAAGATCTTATCACAGACTCATCCCAGCCTGGTTTGAGTTAGAAGGGACCTTAAAGCTCCTCCAGCTCCAACCCCTGCCACGGGCAGGGACCCCTTCCACTGGAGCAGCTTGCTCCAAGCCCCTGTGTCCAACCTGGCCTTGAGCACTGCCAGGAATGGGGCAGCCACAGCTTCTCTGGGCACCCTGTGCCAGCGCCTCAGCACCCTCACAGGGAAGAGCTTGTGCCTAAGAGCTCATCTCCATCTCCCCTCTGTCAGTTTAGAGCCATTCCCCCTTGCCAGGCAGGACCCTCTCATTTCACCCCTGGGTTTGGCACAGTTGGGTTGAGGCTTCCCAGTTTTTTGTCTGGCCCCTGCTGAGGTTCACTCCTCCAGCTCAGCCTGCAGCATCTCCTTGGCCAGCCCATGTCCTGCCCAGGCAGCATTAGTTCTGTATCCCTGGAGTCTGTCCCTGTGTCCTCACCCTCGCTGTGCCCACAGCACCCCACGGACGTGGATTACCGGGTGATGGCCACCTTCACCGAGTTCTACACCACGCTCCTGGGCTTTGTCAACTTCCGCCTCTACCAGTCCCTCAACCTGATCTACCCACCCAAGGTGAGGCACCGGCTGCTCCCGGCTTTGGGGCTGTGCTGGAGGGTCAGGGGGTGTTTGGGGTCTCTGGGATTTGGGAGCTGCTTCCCCACATCCTGTTTCTCCCCCCAGATCGATGGCCAGGCTGATGCTGAGCTGAAGCCTGCAGAGGGCAAGGAATACGCCATGGATTCGGAGAGCTACCTGGAGGTGAGGGACACTGCTGTCACCGTGCTCCACGGGAGGATCCTGCGTGGTCTTGGTGTCCTGACCCCACACCTCCTCCTGCTGTGAGGCACTCGGTGTGTAGGGACTGAGGAGCAGAGCCAGACCCTTCCATGGGAGGAGCCTGGTCTCAAACTCCTTGTTGGACAAGGGAGGAGCAGTGCTTGGTGTCCATTCTGCATGGTGGGGGACTTGGGGTGGGACAGGACATGGAGGAGGCTGAATATCTCTCCAGTCTTGGAGAAGCCCCTTCCTCCATGAGGCTGCCCCTTTTCCCATCCCAAAGCCCTGTCTGGGCCTGACCCTTCTCATTGCCTCCCGCTGCAGAAGCTGTCAGCTCTGAGCTCCAGCCTGGCCCGGGTGGTGGCACCAACCCACGAGGAGGAGGTGGAGCTGGATGAGTTCCCAGTGGAGGGGGTAAGAGCCTGGTGGTGGGGCTCAGCCCTGGCCTTGGGGGATCCTGTCTAGGGGAGGTTTTGTGCCCGGGCAGGGGCTGGTGTGGTGCTGGGAGGGACTGGGAGCCCAATGGGGCTGGCACCCTGCAGAGAGGGGCTTGGCAGGGGCTGGTCTTGGGGAGGAAGCTGAATACTTTGCCCTGAGCAGGAGACTGCGGAGCAGATGGATGCGAGGAAGAAGGAGCAGGAGGCCCTGGAGAAGCACAAGAAGCTCTTTGAGGGTCTGCGCTTCTTCCTCAACAGGGAGGTGCCTCGGGAGCCGCTGGCCTTTGTCATCCGGTACGTGCTGTGCCTCGGTGCTGCCCCTCCATCAGGGCTTGGGGGCCGATCTGCCTGACCTCCTGCAGGCCCCCCCCTGCCTGCCTCACCCCTCGGTGGCCTTTGCTGGCAGGTGCTTTGGTGGCCAAGTCTCCTGGGACAAGTCCTTGTGCATCGGGGCCACCTATGGTGTGAGCGACCCATCCATCACCCACCAGATCGTGGACCGGCCCCAGGTGCAGCAGCAGGTTGTTGGCAGGTTGGTGAGGCACGAAGCCTGTCCCAGACCTGTCCCACGCTCCCCTCTAGCCCATGCGCTCCAGAGCCTGAGTCCCTCTGCCCCACAGGTACTACCTGCAGCCTCAGTGGGTCTTCGACTCGGTTAATGCCAAGCTGTGCCTCCCTGTGGCCGACTACTTCCCGGGGGTGCTGCTGCCCCCCCACCTCTCGCCCTTCGTGACGGAGCAGGAGGGAGACTACATCCCTCCTGAGAAGCTGAAGCTGCTGGCGATGCAGAGGGGAGAGGAGCCAGGTGAAGCCAGGCTCTGGGATCAGGAGCTGGGGAGTTGAGCAGGGCTGGACCTGCTCTGGCGCCAGTGCCTGCTCTGCCGTTGGTGACAGTGCTCTGTCTGTAGATGAAGAGAGTGAGGAGGAAGAAGAGGAGGAAGAGGAGGACAACAACGAGGAGGAGGAGGAGGAGGAAGATGAGTCTGAAAAGGAAGAGGAGATGAAATTAAAGAAGCTGGAAGAGCAGAAGACTCAGAGCAACAAGGTACAGAGCTGGCACTGCTGTGGCTGTGCTGCTCCTGCAGCCACCGCACTGCTGGGGCCTGGACCCCTGTCCGTGCTCAGGACCTGCTGCCTGCTGGGGAGGGTGCTCCGTGTGTCCCTGGGGAGGGTGCTGGGTTCCGGGTGCTGAGCTCTGGCTCCTGCAGGCGCTGCCGGTGACGGTGACGGCCGGGAAGCTGCAGTTGGAGGACAAGCAGCGCCTGGAGCAGGAGCAGCAGAGCGAGGAGAAGCGCCTGGCCATCATGATGATGAAGAAGAGGGAGAAATACCTCTACAAGAAGATCATGTTTGGCAAGAAGAGGAAAGTCCGAGAGGTAGGAGCATAGGGCTGTTGTGGGCCCAGCACCTTTGACTCTTCCCAGATGGGCTCGTGGTGGTGGATCCCTAAAGCCAGGTGTGTCCCACATTGTGCCGGCTCTGGGCTGCTCCTGCTTTCCTGTAGCTGGTGAGGGCAGTGACCCGGGTGCCTGCAGCACATGGGTCCATCTCCCCACGCACAGCCGGGGGTTGGTGGGACTGGGGCAGAGCTGCCCTTGGTGACTGCAGATGGCTCTGACTCTGCCTCTCGGGGGGTCCTCCACAGGCGAACAAACTCGCTGCGAAGAGGAAAGCCCACGATGCTGCTGTCAAGGAGGAGAAGAAGAAAAGCAAGAAGGCACGGCGAGCGTGACGGGGCTGTGCCCTGTGGACACCCTTGTCCTTGAACCCTCAGCTCTGATGCTGGGACAGGAATGCAAAACGAAACCATTTCCCCTCTGTAAATAAACCTCCTGCTGTGCCTTTCCCAGTGCTCTCCCGCACCGGTGCTGCTCATCCTGCCTTGGACCATGGCATCAGGGTCACCAGCCCCTCACGCTGGTGCCACCTCTGCTTCCTGACCCCCAGGGCGGTGAGTGAGGAGGAGGAGGCTCTTGCAGGTCCCTTTGTGATTGTTCCTTTTGGACTGGCACAGCCCTGGGTGGAGGAGCAGCCCCACGGTGGAGCAGGAGCTGCCGGGCACTGCCCAGCACACAGCACCCTGGCTTTGGTGGAGAGGAGCCCATCCCGGAGCCACCCTCTTGGCTTTCTATGTGTCATTAGAGCAGGTGACACTTGCCCAGGGCTGTTTCCTCCCTCCTGGCTGCGGTGGGACCGCACCGCGTGCCGTGTTCTGCCCAGTGCGCGTGTGGGGCTGGAGGAGGCTCCTCACCCTGCGTGGGGCTGAAGAGACGGCGCCTGGGCCCTGCTCCGGGTGCCACAACCCCTGGGCACCGTGGCTGTGACCTTGCCCCTTGTCACCATTTGCCCATCCACGCTCCCAGCAGCAGGTTTGGGAAGGGTCTGCTCGACCCTGGCTGCGTGCTCAGCTCCATGGGGAGCACCAGGCTGGAAAGCAGCTCTGTAGGGAAGGGCCTGGAGCTTGCCATGAGCCGCCACCGTGCCTGGGGGGCATGAGGAGGGCTGGAGGAGGTCGGGGAGGCCATCCTGCCCCTCGGGACCGGTGAGGCCGCTCGTGGAGCTGTGTGCAGCGAGGGACGTGGTGTGGTGCCTGCGGGACGATGCAGCGTGTCCGGCTGGGGCAGCGCCTGCAAGGGTGGGCTGGAGGAGAGGGTGCTCAGCGGGATCCCAGCAATGGGTGTGAAGGGCTGAGGGGAGCGCGTGGAGGCGGAGCCGGGTTCTTGTCTCTGGTACCCAGTGCCACGGTGACGGCCATGGCACGGACTGAGCAGGGAGGCTCTGCAGGCGCCCAGGAAGCGCCGTGGCCATGGCTGGGGGGGCACTGAGGAGACGCCATGGCCAGGGCCTGCCACAGGGTGCCCCCAGAAGCTGTGGCTGCCCCATCCCTGGCCGTGCTCAAGGCCAGGTTGGACACAGGGGCTTGGAGCAAGCTGCTCTAGTGGAAGGGGTCCCTGCAGAGCACACTGGGGGAGGTCGGCAGCCCCCATCAGCAGCATTGTCCCCCCCTTTTCCCCTACATCCATGTTCCCCACCCTGGGGCCTGCTCACAGGCTGAGGCCTGCTCATGGCTGCCCGGGCCAGAGGAGCTGGGTAATGCCTGGAGCGGGGCAGCACCCATGGGGCAGGTTCCTCTTCCCTGGCCCCTCCGCGGGGTGGGAACGGGGGATCCCGAGGTGCTGGGGGGGCCCTGTGGCCTCGGTGAGCTGGGTCGTGGTGGCTGAGGGCTTTACGTGGCGGCCATGGCGGGGGCTCCACGGGCCCCCTGTGCTGGGCAGTGCCGGGGCTGCCCCATCCCGCAGGAATTCTGTGGGGCCGGCTCGGTGCTCCCGGGGGGCACGGACGTGGCCATGGACGCACCGCGGCCCCCGCAGCAGCGCAGAGGCCGTTTGCCTGCCCTCCCCTTCCATCCCTGTTCTCCCTCCTTCGGCTTTCACCGGGACCTTCTTCTTTTTTCCTTTGTTTTTAATTTTTCCTTTCAATTTTTTTTTCTCTCTTTTTTTAATTTTCTTTTTCACCTTTTCTCTTTTTTCTTTTTCCTTTTTATTCTTTCCTCTTTACTCTGTTTCCTTTTTAATTTTTCTTTTTTGCATTTTCCTTTTTTTATTATTTCTTTTCTCCTCCTCCCCCCCCCCATCCCGCCGGACTTGGGAGCATTTTGCTGTGTATTTTTTTTCCCCTTGTTTTTCCCCTTCCCTTGATTTCACCTCTTGGAAAAGGGGGGGGGGGGTACCACATGGGGAAGCTCTTGGGAAGCTGCACCTGGAGCCAGGCTTCCACCTTGGGCCAGGAGACCTTGAGTGCAGCTTCCCAGCCACACTGGAGCCTTGGACACTGCAGCACCCACAGCACCCACATCAGAGCACCCAGAGGCGTGGTGCTGGACTCAGGGTGCTGGGCCGGGCCGGCAGAGGCCAAGGACCGGTCGCACCACCTGGGCAGGCACCGGTTCCCATCTTTCCCACCCTGATGACACTTTCTCCCTGTGACAGCTCTGTGTAACACCGCGCCTGGACAGCCCGTGTCCGCCAGGACCAAGCCCCGGGACCTCGGTGCTGCTGCCCGTGCCACCGCCCGGCTCCTCACCGCATCCCTCGGGATCCCCGCTCCGGCCCCGCTTCCCAGCGCGAGCGGGGGGATTCGCTCTGCTTTCGCCCAGGTGGGTTGGGGACATGGGTGAGGGCTCCTGGGGGTGGGCTACACCCCATGGGGTGCTGGAGATGGGGTGTCACAGCTCCTGGCTCATCTACACCACACCTGAGGTCGCCAGCTTCCCTTCATCAAGCTGCCACATCCTGCGGTCCTTTTCCGGGCGGGAATTCTTTGCGGCAGCATTCCCAAAACAAAGGGGGACCCTGGAATGGAGACGTGCCCTGTGGAGAGGCTGTGGGGTGGTTTCTTGCCCCCACGCCGCTGTTTCCAGGTGAGGGCATGGAAAGGGCCGGAAGAGCCAGGGCTGATATTTAATCTGGTGTCGTGGCCTGTGACAGATGGGCCTGGGAGGAGAAATCCCTGGCATGATCCCAGCCAGGGCTGGATGCAACTGGAAATGCATCAAACAAAGGCTGGAGGGGGCCATGAGCTCGGAAACCCTTGGGACAAGCCTCCTGTCGCTGTCCCACAGCAGCCTCTGCTCCAGCAGGGCACATCCCGGCGTTGCCTGTGCTCCCTTGGGCCCCTGCTCTCTCCCCTGCACAGAGGTGCCCTTTCCCCTCTGCTGTCAGATGCCTCCTGCACGGCCAGGGGGGTGTCCCAGGGCAGCAGGGCCATGCCCGCTCCTGCAGGGTGGTGGCAGCTTCTTGTCCCTCGTCTTACCATGACAAGGGACATTCTGGCTCTTCCCATGCCCCAGCAGGGCTGGGGCTACCTGGGGATTGCACAGGTTGACACCGGGGTGGAACTGGTCCCGCCGAGGCAGGGCAGGATGTGACCACTGTCTGCGATGGGGCAAGAGCTGTCCTGGGGCTCAGCAAACCCAAACCCCTCCATCCGGGTGACGCAGGTGAGGACCAGGAGTGGGAAGCTCAGAGGACAGGTCTGGGAGCACAACGGCCCTTTTCCTGCCCCACCGTGGGGTGATGCAGCCCATGGGGCTGTGTCTTCAGCAGCTGAGTGGGCAGCAGCACCGCTGAGCCCCCCACAAGTGGGTTTTAGGTGCCCCCAAAACGCCAGGCAGCGCAGTGGGAGCAGCACTGTGGATAAGGCTGGTGGCAGCACAGTGGCTCCACCGTTATCGCGCAGGTTGGGTTCGGGGAGCAGAAATATTGCTGCCACGAAGGCCATAAAAGCTCTTTAGATAGGGCGGGCGCGGGGAGGGAGGGCAAGGAGCCTGCGGGAGGGAGGATGAAGAGGAGCTGGCGCAGTGCCGGCTGGCCACCCCGGGGCGGCAGGGACGGGGCTGCGGGGCCGAGCCCCGCACCTCCAGGTGAGCTGTGGCGGTGGGAGCTGACAGCAGCCATGGGACACGGCAAGAGGCGAGGAGCCGGGTGCCACCGCCGAGGGACAGCCATTGTCCCCCCCCGTCCGGCGGCACCCCGGCTGCCAGCGCAGGGCCATGCCGGGCTGGGTGCTGCCGGTGACAATGTCCCCGTTGAGGCCCGTGGCGCAGATGGAGACAAACGTGGCCGTTGTTCTGCTCGGCAGCGGCTCAATGCCTCCTCTGTGCCGCGGCGGTGGGTGGGGAGCCGGAGGCTCGGGGTGGCCGCGGGCACCCAGGGGCTGGCCCGGCCGTGCCGGGGGAGCCGGGCAGTGCCCGGCCGCAGCCCCGCGTCCCTCCCGCAGCGCCCCTCATCGCTGCCTCTTGTCCCCCTTCCCCAGGCCAGTGACACGGGGCCGGGCCCCCGGACATGCCGTAAGCGCTGTGGTTAGTGGGGAGGCTTCGGATCAGCCAGCGTTTGCGGGGAGCTGCCGGGAAGAGCTTATTCCATGTCGGAGCAGCATCGGCACCCTCGCCCCGTGCCACCCGCTCCCCCTGTGCCCCGGCCAGCCCAGGAGAGGAGAGGGAGGGCTCACAGAGAGCAGCTGAAGCAGAGGAAAAGGTGATGCCTGGGGGGCAGATCTGTGGGGCAGGGTGTGCGGGGGCTGTGGGCATGGATGTTTGTACCCATGAGGGGTGTGCAAGGGGGGTAGGAAGCATTGTGTCTGCTGGGATTGTGGGATAAGGACCGTTTCCATGGGCTTGTAGGGCCAGAGGAGCAAGGGGCAGGTGGATGTGGACAGCAGCTATAGTGGTTGGATGTAAAGGAGATGGTGCCTATAGGGAAAACCCCAAAGAAGGCTCCAGGATGTCCTCAAGGACCAGAGGAGTTGCTGGGACATGGGGATGGAGCTGCTGAGCCGCGTGGCCTCTGCTGTGCTGGGGTGACCTGCGGGGAAATGGCCGGTGCTGCCGTGTCCTCTGACTGGGAATTTCAAGCAGGCAGCTGGTAGCTGGCGCTGCAGCTGCCCGGCACTAATGGCAGCCCCAGGAGAGCGCCTCGGTCACCACGTTTCTCTCAGCAAGCTATTAATAATTAAGCCACTCATTGAAGGCAAAGTCAATAGAGGAGCTGGGTTGGGAATTGTTTGCCAGAGCCACCCCAGGGAGCCAGCCAGGGTGGAGCTCCATCCTCCTGGCATCCCAGTGTGCAGGGATGGGGTTCCGTGCTGCTCCAGGGGGATAGCGGGACCCCCACGGGGCTGGAGCCTGGAGCAGGGCTCATGGAGCTGGTTTGCTTCCATGGGGTCAGTGCTGCTGCGCTGACAAGGACAACCAGCGGCATGCAGCTTCACTCCGGTGCCGGTGGGAGTTCCCACCGGCACTGCCTGGCTCCCACCAGCACCTTTTTCCACTGTGGGCAAGATCAAACTCTGCCTGCTCCCGGGTATGTGAGACCCTCAGGTCCTCACACCCGGGCTGGGGTAAGGGTCAGGGCCACCCGCTCCCATGTGGTTCTGATGAACACCCACTGTGTCCCATCTGTGCCGTGCTGCGTCTGCCACCGGCTCCACACACCGGGCAGGATGAGGCTGGATGCAGGCAGCGCTGCCTGACCCGCGTCCCTGCTGCAGCGCAGCTCTTGGGTGAGTTTTTGGGGTGCCCCCCGCTGCCGCGCCGGGTGCCAGGACGAGCTGTGCCCCGCGCCCGGCCGCAGCCTGGGCTCCGGTTGCACTTTCCATTCATTATTCATCGAGCTGGAAATCTCAGCACCCGAGGCGCCGGGGGGGCAGGGGGAGCAGCCGCCCG